GCTTATCTAATAAGCTAAATGAAAAAGTAGTTCAATAGATTTTAACTCTTAACTTTCTCCTCATCTTTCAAACTCATTAACATATAGAACGATAGTTTCATCACAGAGACTAACTTTTACGTTTAAAAAGGCTCCTTTACTGATAACATTTTCTCATGCACACTTTTAACGTTTGTGGATCTTCAAATAACTGCAATCACCTATTTGAATTAAATAATGAAGCTATTAAAATGTATAATATGAAATTTTGTATTTAATTAACACCTTTTTAATACTATAATACAGGCTCCCTTTTTAAACTATTTGTCTTTAAGTATAATTCACATATATTCATCTATACTTATCATTTTTAGTTAGTAAATATGAAATGGAGATTCGGCAACGGTAAAGAACTACTGCTTACTATTGAATATCTTATAATGAATAAGAATAAACTTCTCAAAATAGTGCTATATAAATAAGTTAAATTTAATAGAGCTGATGAATAAATTGACAAAACTGATACGAACTTCTGATCAGTCACTTTATGATTGTTATACTGCGGTAGAAATAGAATGACATGACTGAGAGAACTGATATGTTTATAAAGTGCGGATGACTGGAATAATATTGACAACAAATATGACTTCTCTTTTATACGTGACCGCAAAACACAAACCGTGAAATCGAGGGTTAATTATTTGATAACAATTCACTTCATTGTATACATTTTTCAATCTACCTAGAATTATAATGAAAAAATTATCTAAACATCTAGGCTGATCAAGTGTCTTGATAAAATAAACTGTTTAACAGGATTGCTAAAGTCATGTTAAAATATGAATCAAAAACTGAAGTGATGAAACATTTTCAGAATATGTTAATATAAGCAAACGTTGATAGATAGTTTAGCTATAGACTACCATTTTGCTCATCGATTCGAAACAAAACTTGATTGTTAGCAGTATCCTGTTTATATAGTATATAGACTATTCACATTATTTTAGGTATTTTTTTAAATGTTTGCACTATCACATCATCTGAAAACTACATTTAAATCCTAAATAATAAAAATTAAAGTGGAACAAATCTGGTTGATTTTTATTCACCTAGAAGTTTATAACCTGCCATAAATCACGGCTTCAGATTTTGTTGAGGCTGCGTTTCAACAGTCTGAACGGGTAAATTTGGAAAGAAACAGCTTTTAATAGATAAGTATCAAATAGTTTAATATTTTATAGTAATGCTAGTTTAATGACTAACCTGTCAATGAGAATTTTTTCCCGTTAAGAGGAGTTTCTCTCAAACTCCATCATATGAATTCTTTTTGCATTCTTCTGGTGGCTAATTTAAGATCTGAATTCTGTCCTAGATCTATTTTAATAAACATTACTAAGGTTTTGATAATCCGACCTTCATAAGAATAACATGAAAAGCTATAGTTTACTCCAATTATAGAACATCAGCTATATATAGCCGGTAGATGTGGTCCCTTAATATCGATATTCTGTACATAATAAGCTTATAATTTCGAAGAAGTTTCTCTATTGCCCATCCCAAAACCAGAAGCTGTAATTTTATATGTCGAGCCACCTGAGGAAAACTTACTTTACTGAAGTTTATCTGTACTAATGCCAACCAAATACTGAATGACACCCCTTGAAATATCGTACTAGGAACTTCATCATGAAGCCAATAGTTTCTGCATAAGATTACAGAAGTCACTAAGGTTGGGATAAAAGGAAAGCATTTTACCTTAACCTAACAGATCACATTGCCTACAGTCAAATGGTTATTATTTATTACTTAATTTTATAGTGGTTATCACACTTTAGAGTTTGAACATAGTTGTGTGTAAGATATTAAACAATGATATGTTTTGGCAACTACTTGATACAAAAGATAATCAGAAATTTATCCTAACTATTTTAGCTACTGGAAAGTAGTATAAGTTTATCAGTAAATATTTAGGTTTTCGATAATTAATCACCTAAGAATAATTACAAGTTGCTCTTAATCTTTTAGATTCATACCCATTGTTCTTCACTACGTAGTTGACTAAATTGCCCTAATTTCATGATCTTCGTTGAGTGAGAGCGGTGTACACCATGAATATGTCAAATGTCGAAAAATGATGATGATTATTTATTTACAATCAATTACTTTATTATTTTTATTGTTACCATAATTATTTCATTATTATTGACACTTTTTGTCAAAAAGATACATTAATTTTTGCTCTGACTACTATTCTATACGGGTCAAATGAGGAAAGTGGGTTTTAACAAGTAAACACTGATTGGTATCCTAAAAAGTTTTTACTTGTTTTTAATAATCAGCGATAGTGTTGTTTTTTAAGTCATACATAAATCACAGGCTGAATAATTTTTTAATGACAAATCTGGTTTTGGTGTTTTTGCTTATCGGACTATCTTGCCTATGTCATGAAAATGGGGAGACACAAGTGTGTCAATATATACATGCCGGCACACTGACAATGAAGTTTTGATAACTGTTCGTTCTTGAGCAGAAGGTTCATATAATTTCAAGCAATCTACAGAACTCATAAATTTTCCTATATTAACACCCTGATACATTTAAAAACTATCATTCAAAATAACATCTCACAAAATGATAATGAAATAATTTATGTACAGCTGACAGTGTAATGGTCTGCATACGATTACTATTGATGTCAATTCCAATGAAGTTGGATAGACCACTGGGTAAAGTGTAATATGAGATTTCCTTCACATTATTATTTAACACGAAATAATTCGCCAGTAGTTTCCATAATTTCATGCTCTATCAACAGTCGACTGACAAATTTAAAATGATCGAAGTAAACTTCAGTATTCAGTACGAACACTAATGTTTTCATCAACATCAATGTCCATTTGGTTCTTCTATTTCAGTTATATATTATATTACTTCGTATTTTATCGAGGAGTGACTAACTGATGGATATATGTTTATTCACTTAAGCGTTGTCTTCATATAGTAAATTTCAAATCTTCTTAAACAAACACTTCGTTACGGAAAGATTACAGGTCATTTTTGTGCATTATTGAAACAGGAGAAAAGCAATTATACTTTTATTTTTTATCGTCTCTTGTGATCTTGAATAATTTGATGTGCTTTTACATAAAAAGATTACATCACTCTTGAATCACTTTGCTTAGCAGTCCATAATAAGGAGTCATTAGAGTAATGCATTTATATGATAAGGCATGAATGGAACAAGATTAAACATTGTACATTGATTTTCTACACTCACGATCGATTTGCATCATAAGCACCATAGACGTCATTTTGTAACAATGTTATCAAATTGGCGTATACATTTTCCAAAATGGGATAAAAAATTTTTAGTATGACTCAAGCAACATTTGAATATAAAAATAACTTAGTTAGTCTCATATTTACTTAGATTTATGTACGACCATTAAAAATTCAGTGGTCAGGAATTCGTTTTAACTAAACTACACTTAGATTTGTGATATAGGCATCGAAATTTTACATTTGATCAACACTCAAAATTAACCTGATCCTAGATTTCTAACAGATCAAAGTTGCAATTATCACATTTCTTGTGAATTTTTAACTTACAGTAAAGAAAAATAACCTCCTTGAGCAAAATTACTTAGATTCATTTTGTATCGTGAGTTTCCTGTCCTTTACTTGACTCTAGCTACATGGTCTTTCACTATTATCTTGATCAATATTCCAAAATTGCCTGTAGTAAACTATATGTTTCAAATGTTTTATTCAGTAACTTAACTTTGTTTGAATGCTCACAACACCATTTTGACACTCGCTTAAGTCAATTTTCTACAAAACGCATTTCTCAAAGCATTTTAGACACATTTTGTAGTCTTCATAAATCACTGGTTATAACAGGTTGACGAGAAACTAAGGAAGGAACATGAATGGACATTATTCCGCTCAAACTGTTTCTCTTGGTCTTTTCAAGCTAACAAACGGAATTATGTTTACGAAGTTATCTAATAAAAAAAACACTTTTAACTGTTCCGCTAAGTGTATAGATCCAAGGAAAATCCTAGATGCCAGCTGATAAAGATGTGTTGATAAGTTAATTTATTCAGATCAGTACATAGTGCTTAAGGGACAAAAGCGTCGTTTCACTAAAAATACGGCAGTGGCTTTTCAAGAAAAGGCGAGACATTATAATTTGATGCTTGAGAATATATCACTCAAGTTATTTTCAATTTATCACCACTTAGTTAATTAACGGAGTTTTTTCATTGGTGACATTAAAATTCATTTTTTTAAAGCAAGTCACTTGCGTGTATGTGTGCTTTTTCTAGTGAAAATATATAACAGCACGTAAGAAACAGAAGCCGCCTGCTCATGGTGAAAAAAAATACAAACACATTTAGATACATGTACCATAAGTTAGCTTAAATGCTAATGTCACAAGGCCAAAATAAATTATCCTACACAAATAATCAAGCAACTGCCTGTCAGTACGTAGGCAAAGTAGTAGCCGATGGATGAAATCTGATAGCCTACCAAGAGTATAAGGATGTTGTCTTTTCTTAGCACTCAAAAAATAAAACATGATCAGACAGAAAAAGAGGAAACGTTATAGTTGTTCTTTGGGTGCTTGTTTTTCTAAATATAGATTATATACTAATTGTCGACTTCTTCCTTCTAAACTTTATTTCAAATCGTCATTTCGACCAATCGGCATATCATCATCGCCCTCAATCGGAACGCTGCATTCATCATCTTCAACATCCCTTCAAATCCAATCTTGTTTTCATGATCAAACATCGATAAATACTTCACGGAAATCTAAAATGAAAACCCGCAATGAATGTATACCGATGTCATTATCTCAATGCTCTACATCAAATGAAAACGAAATCGAAACAATGACTGTTAATATATATCATGAAAATGATAACATAAATGATGATCAACAAATCAATGAACCTGGTATTTATGATGCATCACTTTGCGATCTAAAAATAAAACATCTAAATTGTAATCTAAAGCAAAAACAGGGTGATATTAACCAAAGTTTTCTACGTGCAGCTAGGGCAGGAAATTTGGAGAAATTACGTGAATTACTCAACAAAATAACAGACATCAACGTCTCGAATACTGTGAGTTGTTTTCTATGAATTTTCATTTGATAATTCGTTAAGTAGCAAATAAAATCGTTATCCAATTTATTTTTTGAACCTATTATTTTCCAGCTAACACCTGAAATTCAGTATTCACCGTGAAAGATTTTCTTACTAACTTTCCATTACGGCTTTAGGTGTAAATTTCAGGAGGGTTATACAGAAAATGTAAACGCTAAGTTGTAGAAGAAGGTTGGCTTTTCCTGAAATAGATTAAGTTTTCTGGCATTTTTCAACCGCTTTCAATCAATTAGATAGGTGCACCTCACCTTGAAGACTTACATGTTTATATGGATAATCCAGTCGATCAATTTAATCTCATAATCAGTTAGGTTTCAAGAGAACTAAGTGGACACTAATAATCGAAGCAATTCGATTTCAGTGCAAGTTGTTTTCTAAAGCAACAATGAAAATCAGAAGTAGAAGGCGAAAACTGAAAGTAAACGTTTTAGAGCACAGGTAAGTTTAGTTTATTCGAGTGATGCTTTGTAGATCAAGGGTTGTGCAATAAGAAGTGTTATACTGGTTTCAAGCAGGGACCTAGTGTAACCCATATAAATTACAGGTTGTAAACTGATAAGTTTTCCGTTTACTAAGCCAAGGAATGTATTATCGACACACTTAATTGGATACTAATTTCACCTTTCTCACATGTCAAGTGATATTATATCATATTTGACTTGTAAAGCTATAAAACCAGTGTTACCCTTCTTAATTGATTACTGTAAAACTATATTACTAACACCACACATTTTCACAAGATATGTTATGTGAATTGTTTTTACATCCCAACATTAAACCATATAATACAAACACTTCGTTACAAGACACTAAATTACAACAACATTTTTAACTGGCAAAAATGCAAACGTGCTTAGAACGAGTGCATTCATTCAACATATTTCTTATAATTCGGGATTTTTTCACCAATAACTTAGCTCATGCTCAATCAATTCATGTAATGTGAGATTTTCTATGAATCAGATGAATAAGTTTTATGCAGAGATTATGTGCACTAGATTTACATTCCTTTTAACTCTGAATTGGTGTTAGTATGAAGCAAATATACAATGAGTCAGTGAGCTTACAATTTCTACATTTTTCAGCTACCCTATTCGATTCTTACCAAATGAGCTAAATCTAATTAATAGGATAGTGAGAAGAACCATGGTAGTCCATGATACATCAAATAAGTCTGTCAATAGCGTAAAGAGCATCTGAATATAATGACGGTCTTCATATAAAGTATTTATATCAGTAGATTACAGCTTGAGGCACGACTAGAAAAATAACCTAAAAATGTTCAAAATTTGGTCAACAATTTTTGTGTTTTCATAGTCCACTTGTGAGACCAATAGTCTTAGGTTAGGTCCCTGGATTCGATTGTCCCCAGTCGTGAGTTTTGTTTACTACAACACGTAAGACGTAACTTCACCATCCAAAGTACCCTTAAATTCCTTTTTTTATCTTCAGTATAAAGATAAAGGATTATAAACAGTAGAATTTATGGAATTTCCATAATGTTGTGACAGTGTATTTAATAGAAAATATTCTTGAATTATAAATATAATAATTGTGAATAGAGTAATAACCAGTCAAACTGAGTCCGAAATAATACAATTGTAGTGGGTACATTACTACCAGGCTCATGAATAGTTTGAAATCATCTATAATGTATTTCATGTTTTCAATGCTGTAGTACTTCTTAAAATATGTACTGAAAAACAATTATTTCCAGTCAGAAAGAAAATTTACAAATAGCAATGGATACAGAAACTGTTCTTCTTCTTTTTAATCCGATTGTACGGTTAACTTATAAAACGTTACGACATAAATTGATTCTTCCAGTGAATGATAATGATTATCTCGTAATATAACCATGGCAACACATTCAGTCGAAGTCATGGTTAGAATCCGATTCATTTTTCGACTCATTTATGACAATTTAGTGGTTCACCATATGGTATGTACTAGTGATTAAAACAATATTCAAACTAGCTGTTAGTAACTGAAACTGAATAAATATTCATATTTTGAATTTGGTTCTTTTAAGAAATGAAAAGTAGTGACAGCCATTGCTTTGCAGTTTGTTTAGTAAAGTAGTATATTGCGCTAGCTTTAAGTTGCCAGAATATTTCAGAAATAACCTAATGCAATATTCAAGTTCAGACTTTGATTTTAGGGGATTATCATTTTGATGTAGATCCATAGAAAATACTTTTAAAGGGTTATTGGCTTGTTCCAAATGTACTAATGAAATCAGGCGAGTGGAGCGACCAAATGAAGCGAGCTTAAAATGAACCTTACAATTGATGACCTTTATTAGATAAAAAAACATAACTCACTTCAATAGAAAAGAACTTCGAAGGATTAAAAGTCAATAAGTCCTTAGGTTTTATTAACATCAGAGAGGTTACTTAAAACTATCTAAATTCACTAAAGATAAATACACTTGTCTTTTTCGACTTCATTAAATCACAAAGAAAACAAATGGGTTCAGAAGGCAGTTTGAATTCAAGTTTCAAGAAAGAAATTTTTTATGAGGATTGAGCTATTCAGTCAATTTGTTGCGCAAAGTCACATGAAGCAGGACAAAACGGAATAATGTAGAAAAATTATCACTGTATATCATATTTAAGTGATGAACGCACAGTTTCTTTGATAGTATACAGTTCTTGGGAACATGAGACATACCAATATAAAGAAATGACGAATCATTTGCTTGAACACACAAGCTTAGGTACTTCAGAAATTGTTATAGTGAGCGCAAAGTAAACGCACTCTACTTCCCTCTGAAGTATTGAACAGTGAAAGAATCTTAATAGCCAAGTATCCCTATGATAAAGCTGTCTACGTTTCGATAACTATAAGGTTGATAACTAAGGTAATTATAATCTTTGTCATAATTCCCTATTGCTAGCTTGAAAGTCAGTGTATTCTGCTAATCTGTTTAGCTTACTAGACTTCATCCATCAAGTCAAAACGTTGGTAACTACAAGTTCAGAATCTAAGTTTTAGATTAACTGACTTTTGAAAACTTTTCTATTCTGAAAGGCACATTTTAATCATGGGATTGTTGACAAATGAAGAATGAGTTGTTACAAGTCAATATTCAGGACTCCTCACAAACAAGTAACCACAGTCCCATGCGATATCGAACGCAAGATGTTCAGATATTGTGGGGAGCGCAAAACCATTGAGCTGCTTATTGGAGATCCGGTAGTTCTTGTCTTTGACAGGACAGTGACAATATGAAATTTGACACAATTTCCGTAAACCATTTAAATAAAAATCACATGTTAATTAGTAATCAGCTAGGAGACGAAAATTTTAAGGTTACAATCAGAAACCATTGCCTGTAGAATCAAAAAATCCGAAATGATGTAACAGTTCACTATCCCAATAGCACAAAATAGAATAACTCAGTATATGTAAGGTCTGCTATAAAACTTGATTCATCTAATCAGGTAAAAGTAGCTGTAGACAGTATGGACTGCAAAATTCACATCTGTCACCAAAACATCTGGATATACGTTTCAAAAAGACAGTGAATATGGACATTTTTATACATTTATATTCAGTTATTGAAAAGAGAGCAGCGCCTGATATTACTCTAATCGTTTGTAATATCTACTGCTTTATTACTTTGCAAACTACTAACAAAAATATTCTAGATAAATTTTTACATTTGATTAGGAGTCGGTTTTGTCCCTTATCTTCAACTAGAAGAGGTTGGAAATACATATCTTGTTGTTTAACTACTAAATATTTCGTAACACTTTGTGGCCAATGTGTTAAATTGCATTTTAATTATTTATAGGTGTAGACAAACTTTAAATGTTACAATCGTGTAGCAGTGAATGTAACCCTGTCAGATAAAAAAGAACCAAACTAAGATGAAATTAGTTCTAAACCTGAGTGTCCACTATTTTCATGATGCAAAAAAGATGATCAGAAGGGGTTTTCTAGGAATTTCAGTATTTTCATAGTTGAAATCATGAGTCGATTGGAGCTAGACCACCATGGAAAACCTGGAAGCACTGGACGACCGTTTCGTCCTATTGTGGGACTCTTCAGTAGTACGCATTCACGATCCCGCCTAGCGAGATCCTAACCCAGAACCTACCAGTCTCGCGCCAGAGCACTTAACTGATGGACCACTGAGCCGGCATCCGATGGTGTTTATGCCTAACTCTGACCAATCCACGAAGTTTTAGCGGCCGTTCACCAATTGTCTTCAGTGAGTTGATATCTCACAACAGACGGGGATCGTGAATGCGCATTGCTGAGGAGTCCCACAATGGGACGAAACGGCCACCCAGTGCTTCCAGGTTTTCCATGGTGGTCTAGCTTCAATCGACTCATGATTTCAACTAAGCAAAAAAGATAGACACACGATGAAAATAAACACAGATACATCCCTATTCACTTATCGATTGAGAGAAATTCCACTGTTTTTGCACATTTTCGAATAAAAATTTAGATATTCTACAGTTACCAACTTTTAGAAACGTATAATTGTATTTTCACCAGACTTTTACTACTCATTTTTTTAGTGTTGAAAAAATACTGAAATAAATAAAACTGAAATGTATTATCAACCATTTAAAGGATATTAAAAATACCCATCAATCATATTCCTTGGCTACGAAATCTCCATAGTTGTTGACTATTTCGAATGCCTTTTTCAAACTTAATCGAAACACTTACAGCTTAATCATGAATTTCGGAGTTTCAAATAGTATATGTTTACAGAAACATATTAGCTACCAGTGCAGAGACGTTCTGATAGACTGGATATGTTGAGTGCTTATGGTGTCTTTTTTGTATGCTACCTGCGAAGTAATAGTAGATCTTTTGGCATATCGATAGTCTAGAAACATTTTAGAAAATATGCTTCAAAATGAATTGGAATACTTTCCTTATTTCTGAAAATCAAACATTACCTCTATTTAAAACTTTTTATTGGTTAGAAAATTATGACTTCCAAACTATTACCATAGCGACGTTAGAATAAGCAGATATGCTTATAAAAATGTTTCTTATGTTTCTTTATACTTTGAAATTACGGAAGCTAGACTTAGAGCTATATCTTTTGTTTTATTGATTAGATTGTTTTTGGTTTGACTTTTCTATAAATAAATATGAGTGAAGTTGTTTCGATTACATTTTATTCACTTAGAATTCAAACTGAAAACTGAATTTTTTGTTATCCCTTTGTTCACCAATGAATTACTTGAGGATGAATATTGGGTAATCTTCGTAGAATGATAAGCCATATAAACCAGTCAAACCGAAAGTGAGAATAAAACGTCAATGATGGCGGATGTGTTATATCTTTAGAGACTGGAACCTTTCAACCAGCTAATCCTAACTGAGTGGTTGTATAGTAATACGCTCCTATCTGATAATTCACTTAGGGTATTTTGTTTTGAATGCATTGATCACACAACCGAGATGTCACTAACTAGAATTGGGCAATAATTAGTGCCTCTCAGTTTTCAGCTGTTCTTTCGACGACATTAGTTTTTAGTAGAAACTATCTTTAAATCCTTTGTTTAGTATGACCTAAATATCGTATGGAGCATGTATGAAACATTTCACACCAGTTACTTTGCAACCTCTGTTTTACAATCTTTGTTTTGAAAGACAACAAACAGCATAATATAATACGAAGAAAAATAAGTAGGAAGACAGTTTGATGAAGTTGTCATGGAAATTTTAACCATAACCTCAGAATGTTCAAACAATAAAAAAATTAGTCGACAAGCAAATGATGCTCGTTAATTCTGATGAGTCGATATAAATCTTCACACTATTTGTGTTACCACACTGAGGTTGGTAAATATTACCTGCATAGTGTGAATAAACAGCACTAACGTATCATCTTAAAACAGTAGAATAATATCGATCGTAGTGTTATTTTGCATGTATTTGATTTTCATTATCAGACTTTTTACCTTCATATTTATTCTTTGTATTTCTATGTTTTACAGAATGGACTGAATGCACTACACTTAGCGTGTAAAGAAGGCCGAACCGAAGTTGTAAATGAATTATTATCACATGGTGCATCAGTTCATATGATCACAAGAAAAGGCAACTCTCCTTTACATATTGCTAGCCTTGCAGGACATCTAGAGATCGTAAAATTGTTAGTTGACCATGGGGCTGATATAAATGCCCAGTCTCAAGTAAGAAATTTAATAAAATAGTTTAAATGTGGCTTAATATGGTAGCAGTCCGTAAACTATTTACCTCAGTAGGTCATCAGAGGATATGTATTCAAATTGTTTTAAGTACTCAGGGTTTGCTTTTATGCTTGATAGGCTAGTTCCATTCACAAATGTATGTCAGGATACAGCATTTTTATAAATCTTGAAATATACCGGCCTCATACAAAGTTAAGTGATCTTGTTAAGAATGTATATTCTAGTCCCAGAAGCTAGACTTCCCCTTTAAAGGTCCTTATATTTTAGAACTGAAAGTAAATAATTTATGTCATTCATTCAATAAGTATCTGAAAATCATAACTGTGTTTTTTTGTAATTACAAAACAATATTAATTGACTGTCCTGAACAGTGTGATTGTCGGTCATAAATATCTCCGTTTTTCACACCTAATTTGTTTAAGTGACCCTATCTTTAACTATAAGCGTCTTAAAATGTATATGTGTAATCAGATAGTTCCAAATATATTACGTTAATCTATCATGTAGTATTCTGTTTGGATGATCTAGAGGGACGACTTGTTTTAAAGAGAGTGATATTGTAGTGAATGAGATCACGAGTGAGGACAGTAGAATGTATTTGACAAGAAAATTACAGACTTGCTCACTAAAATCTAACAATCATACAGTAAACAGTTAATTTGCAAAATAATAATCAATTGTCTCAATCTTAATCATTCTTTCTGCAAATATCAGTCCATAGTCTCCGATTATTATTGTCCATGCATTTTCATACCGATTGCATTTCATTCCGTTCTTTCCTTATCGATCTTCTACTGAAATACATTCAATGCCCGACCATCGTCATAGTTCATTTGCTCCTGTTTTTACGATGCTGACGGTAGTTTGTATGATAATAATTCTATTAATGAAACACAGTTAGGGCGATTGGGACTTGTGGGGATTGTTGAAAACTTGAATAATTCGAATCGCACTCAAATTAACCAAAAGTTACCATTTTCTTCTAAAACATAACTCTGAAAAAAGTTTGAAAAATGATGAGAATTACCTATAGTGAACAGCAACTTAAAATACGAAGAAAGAGATAGTTAGTAGCATGTCTTTTACACAAATTTTCGAAGATTTTATGAATGGAAGGTCTCAAAATACGTTGTCTATTTTGTGAGGTGGAGAACCACTACTAGGATTCTAAAAGTCAGTGTAAGACTATATGTTGTCTGGTATATACTAAAATTGGTCAATAAACTCCATTTATTCAGCACATAAAGTAATGATTAGATATATCTGCTTATCACAAATAGATCCAGTCGACTCAAAAACGTGAAATATCAAACAAACAAATATGCATTAATTCATGATGCTAGTTTTCTAATTGCAAAGAGCAATTACAAGAAGTATATCGAAGTGCAAAACAAGGTCATAATTCCAAAAGAAATACTCGGATATCAAAGAATGATTATTTCAAACAAGTTTGATACACTTGAACACTTGTAACCTAAACATTGGATCACCAATTGCTGATTTTCAACATTTTACATATCGTGCCTAGGATATTTGCAATCTACGAAATTTCGTCTAAGCGTAAAAAGATTTCCCACGCCATCCGAATGCTCCATTTATGTACATCAGTGTAACTGGTAGCCAGACTTCCCAAATTTCTGTTCAATTATTACTATATTAGAGAATACTTGTAATCCATTTAACCAAGACCACTCTTCATTTCTTAGTCACTATAACATTACCTCCACCCCATAAGTAGCAAAATAACCATCATTTCCAAGATCCTTAGTAGTATTCCCAAATCATGCTACATATGCAAAGCATGTTTTTCAATGATGAGCGCTTTCATACTTATTTTTCCATTTAATTGTGATATAGAAATAAAAACAATAGGAATTCAGAGATTACTTCCTGTTTGTTAGCTGTAACAGATAATTGTGTATCAAAAATAGCAAACCAATGGGAAGTGAGTTTTCTTTATGATTTTAGTGTTTCTGATATTTTACTGTGTTGGGATTGGATACAAAACGTAAACTTAGTGAGGTTTTTAAACAATTACCATCAACAAATTATCCCATTTATACGTATTGGTTGTTCCTACTGTTTGGGCAAAGGGAGAGTGAACTACAAAGACTTAATGAGGAAGTGAAATAGAAGAAAACAATATAAGGAACAGAAGGAACTTATAAAAAGAAACCATTTCATGTGACCGTTGTGTCTATAAGTTTATAAGAACTGAATAAATAGACTAACACAGTGAGTTCGTGCTGATGTTTATTCAGAGAAAAAGAATACTTAATTGTGTAATTAACATCTATATGCTAATTAATGATATGTTATTTACTGGTGGATTACAATTAATGATGTACAATCTCTAATATTTGTAAAAGTGAAACTGAGGAAGTGTAATCTACATAAAATAACATTTTATTTTTGAAAATGTTGTTTAATGTATAAGATTGAGTCAATTTGAATTTACTTTCATTCAGAACGGATTTACACCCCTTTACATGTCGGCTCAAGAAAACCATGTTGAAGTTGTTCGGTACCTTCTGGACAAATCTGCTAATCAAGCTTTATCAACGGAGGTCGGTTTAATCATGTTTAATTAAAACAGTTTTCATTTACTTTTAATAAATTAGCACTACATTATTTTACTAAAGAGTTAAAGATATGAAAGGATGGAAAATATTTTCATGAACTTTCGTTCTCTGGGCTGGATGGTTTGGTAGTGGAGCTTTCATCGTTCTTCTGAACGACATCATCAGCACAAACTTCAGGTAGAAGTGAAGTGTCCGAATTCCTCCATATGCAGTTCGTAGTTTGTTCTGTACACCTCGATGATGATTGGTTCTTGTTGACCTTAAAGTTGTCATGGTTTACTTCTTTGTTTTGGTTGTATTTCCCATTGGTTTGATTTGTGGTCCTATGTTTGTGCTTGTTGATTGCTGATTGATCTGAGTGCTAAGCTTCTAAAAATTATCAGGTGTTTTTAGAATTGTCTCTATCAAAAATTTCTACATTTTCCAGTCGAATGTATGTTCGTAGTTGTCCACGTGCATTGATGTAAGTGAGGAAATGTCAAAATCATCGATCTGAGCTACAAAACTCCTCCGTTTCAAAATATTTTCAAATTAGTTGAGTGCTTTTGGTGGTACTGTGTTATCAGAGCTCGGTAATTTGATTGGAAACATTAATTGTTGTTCTGATAAAAATCTTCAGCCGCTACTTCATGTAGATGTCAGTGAATGTTTCGTAAACAAACCATATGACTAAGAGAATACACCACTTCAAACAATCGCTGGTTGTAAAATTGTTTGAATTTGTCTCAGGTAGCATATAATCTATAATAGTTCTCACAGCCATACTTATTTGGTAGTTGTCCATTTATTTTTGAACCAATTCTTTATCTGTTAGCGTTTCCAAGGCTTTCCTCAAAGGACTTTAATACTGATTAGGATTCAACTATGAAGAGACTTTGGCTAATAACTTCAAATGATGGTCTGAATCATACTTGCTTACACGTACAAGGTGAAGACTTCAAATCAGAAGGGCTCTGATGTATCACTCATTTATCCAGACAATAAGTAACCGTTCTCCATAGTCCTATGAAAAAAATGATTCAGAGATTCACGTAGATTTGATTGCCCTTATGCTGTGTTCTGAATAATTAAGTTGGATTTTTGTCACTAAAATTCAATGCAGCTCTTTAAAAGTAAACCATAATCTTAAAATTGAATATGATTTTTTTCTAAGCTTGATTTATTGATTGTTTTATATGATAAATCTAAAATATACTGGAACATTCTACTCTGGTAATTGTTTCTTGCTTTACAAATCGGTGAATGAATTCTATTTGTCATCTTTCATAATTACATTTTATTGACGAAGTTTATTCTTAATGAATCAATAAAATAAAACATAATTCCAACTAGTTTCTGACCACTAAAGCAACAAATGAAAACGAGAAATCATCAATAAACCCATTCTTTATTGAATGTTGTCAGCATGAATAAATGATTCCCCTACGTTTATCAATATTTCTTAACTTGAAAGATGTCATTCTGAAGTTTCTGTCAATTATTAATCACTTGTTAATAAAACAATTTTTCAAGTATTAGAAGAATTTCAAAATGCTTATTATATTAAATTCATAGGATGAATGTATGAATCAGCCTAACTGAATACTGAATATTCATTGAAAATGTTAAACTAGTGGTTTATATCATAAACGTAAACTGAGTGTCAATACTTGGCATTTATTCTGATCTCTTTTTTTACTATTTTAAAATAATACCTACTACTCAAATGGCCTCACAGTCAAATAATCGTCATTTTACATGTTTCTATGAAAAGCATTGGTTAGTTTAATAGAACAAATAACGGATTATATCGTTATTTAATGACACTTCATTTTTATTCTCCGTTACTATGAATTCCGTAATACTAGCTTTCCTTTAGTAAAAGAAGGGGCTTGAAAGTTATCTACTATTTACGGAGTAATCCATTTTGATTATTCTCTCAAGAAACATTATTCCATTCAACACAAGGATATCAAATATTTGGTGTTCAAATGGTTTTCTGTAAACCCTTCTATTATTTGTCATGTGTTATTTCTTGTTTTTTAATAAATTTACTATACAAATTAACAATAGACCATTGATTAAAAACAATAATGGTGAGATAATTTGTAAACTGAGTAAAAACTGTCTGAAAACACGCTTTTTGCTGAAGGTAGACAAAATTCATCACATCCGTGTCTCATAAAAGCTACACCGATATGATCAACGACTGTTTAACTTGTTAATAACTGTATTACGAATCTTAGTAACTAAAAGTCGGTGCTTAATCTAAGGTTTCCATAGAATAGGCATTTACTAGAAATTGGGACAGTGATGTATAAAAACATCTAGTTGAGATAACTCTATTTAGGTAACTTCCTTAGGAATATTGTGTAATCATATTCTCCTCTAAGAAGTAAACTATTCTAACATAATAAGTAACATAAACGATGCCTTCTGGTAAGTAGAATTCGAAATAACACCACCATTTAACAACATAATTAGATGTAGTTGTCATTAAAATAAACTACTCGCAATGTATAGAGCAACAAGTATACTTCCTGTGACCATATATTATATCGCGATTAGGCTTTGCTTATGAGATTACCTCAGAAGACATATTAAATTTGAAAATCTACACCTAATTGTCACCACCTTAACTGCAAAGCTTGGTTTGTTTTAAAATATTTGTATTTTTTATCAGGAGCAGGGATAGAGGGTTTTTCCTAACTTTAGTTTAACCGACAAAATTAAGGGTATGACAACGAGAAATTTGAATATATTGGACTGTATCAAAAAATTGCATCAGATACTTCCTAAGGCAACCACATAACTCCATCGGCTGTTTATATGTTCCTGAAGTATCTCTCTATAAGTCGCACGTAGGATTTCTTGGAAAAGAGGTAACAATCATAGTATGGTTCTCGGTCTACGGGATTGCGCTATACCAATCTTATTAGATTTTATTTGCTATTAGTTTTGTTTTATTTATTACCCTGCCTTTATTACTGGTGATGTAATTATTTAATTTTTGATTACACTAACTTCATCAGTTTCTATATACCTGTGTGTGTGATCCGTTACCCAGCCCTGTTAAAATACACTTTAGTATCCGGAATCTTTGTGGCATCAGTTATGGTACAGAAAGTCAGTTAAGGTCTTTCTTTACAGTACAACTAAGGTATATTTTACACAATGTAAAACTGAACCCTTATGTGTGCTTGCTGTTGACACTCAACAATGGGTTACAACCATTCGGTTTTTATGAGCATTAAATCCGTACTTAACCTTTAATGCAATCATAGTAACATTGTAGGCTTCTTAGTAGTTATCATAATGAAAATGAAGGTTGAGCGAATAAGTTACCAGCTTATTAATGTCTATTTATTTTGAAGATCTTTGTCAAATACGACCCTTAATTTGATGCTCAAAGCAAAACAGCAGTGTGTTTAAAGTATAAAGTTTAGGAATTTTCGTACACTTATTTGAACTGTTTGAAATTCCTGACTTATTGAAAGCATTATTACCCATTTTTAGAATCTAGATATTTAAAAAAAGTTAACGAGAGGTACATCTAATCTGCAACATGTTCACAGCTATTTCGAGATTCATTTTGGTCATCAATAAGGATTAGGTATATAATAACCGAACAATGATTGACTTGTCGGGGTTTATTCACTTGTTTTAATCTATAAACTAAACACATTTATAGTTGAAATCATGAGTCAATTGAAGCTAGACCACCATGGAAAACCTGGAAGCACTGGGCGGCCGTTTCGTCCTATTGTGAGATTACTCAGCAGTGCGTATCCACGATCCCGCCTCGAGATTCGATTTCAATTATGAAATTACTAAAATCTTCACATAAACCCCTTCTGATTAACACATTTAATCAAACATACATAACATATCCTGTTTTTATGAACTGATTTAGTGTACATTCTTACATTAAACCCTTGTGGAGGTGAAACTGATTATTCTACTGATACCTCCCAAACTGTTTGTGTATAAATTCACTTAGTATTGTTTGTTTGGATCTTCCCATCGATGTGTTTAGGACGGCAACTGGTCAGTCTCTAATTGGCATATGTGCATACTGTGCGTATTGCCTCGATATACCTTAATTCACAAGCATGGTAAGCAGAGATGGATGGTGGCTAGCAGTGGAATCCAGGACGCGCGTTTCGTCCTATTTGGGACTCGTCAGCTGGATGTACCTGCATCTCAGTGAACATCAACTCTGAGATGCAAGTACATCCAGCTGACGAGTCCCAAATAAGACGAAACGCGCGTCCTGGATTCCACTGCTAGCCACTATCCATCTCTGCTAACTATGCTTGTGAATTAAAAATCTAGAGTTATAAATTTTGTGATACAATGGTTGTATAGCAAGGTACAATGAATGAAGTTCATGAAGCAAGCAACATTGATATCTACTTAACCTATTTTAAATATTACAGTAATAAACTCACTGTTTTGAATCATCAGAGCAAACTGATTAAAATAAAATTACGAAAGTAACTTCTTTTTTTCAAATAAGCTAATAATGAAGAAACACTGTAAAACAGTCTTTCTGGTAGTGCTTATCTTAGAACATTATGGATAAATTTCTCATTTTGTTTGGTGAAGAAGTTATTTTTATCGATGTCATCAATTCCGTATGACCTCATTGTTGAACTAAAATGTTTCCGTTTGGTATTTTCTATACACTGAGATTTTCAAACAATTGCTTATTTAATATATCACGATTCTCTACTTTCTTTATTCAGGATGGCTTCACGCCACTTGCAGTGGCACTACAGCAAGGACATGATCGTGTTATAAGCCTGTTGCTGGAAAGGGATTCTCGCGGGAAAAGTCGCTTACCCGCTCTACATATTGCTGCAAAGAAAGATGATGTTCATGCTGCTAAATTGTTACTCAATAACAGCGAAATGAATGTAGATCATACATCGGCTGTGAGTGCTTTTACAGATACTACATATTGTTTTACCAAATAAGAATGATTGCAACTGTCATAAATGTTATAACAAATGAACTTGCCTGTGATGGATGATATTTTGAGTTTATGTATTGAAGATGAATAATCGTATAACTACGGACTAATCGGTAAAAGTACCACTCTGATACATAATAAATTAATCAAATATGACTAGGACTGTTAAATGGAGTCGTACAACACAAGAGTGACTAAATAAAAATTTCGAATTTTTCGTATTGCAGCAAATTATACAACACAGTTTCTTAGTGGTATCTACATAAACCCATACATCAAAAAGTTAATCTTGTGAAAATAAAACTAAACATGTCACAAAGTATTTACGAAGTTTCATCTCTGAATCGCTACCTTCAACGAATGTGTTCGAACGCTTATTTTCCGTATGATTTCTTTCTTGTCATAAATACGACTGTTATATGATATATTCTCATGAGCATATCACCTAAAAGCCTAAGGAGTTGATTTAAAAGGCTTTCTTACATATTCCCGACAAATATTTTAAAAGGAATTGAGTAATGTTATATTACTTTCTGTAATGCCCTTGATACATGACCCACACATAACTGCATTAATTAAGATTACATCGAAAGTTTTTAAAGTCGCTATGGTCTAAGTTAATCAAACCATATATAAAATTAAAACTAGAACCCTGTTATATTCACATCTATGATATGCATTGCAGTGATCACTTATTTAGTCTTTCATTCATGATTTGTTTAATGGCAGCATTGCACACTTACTTGTTAACTTTGTGATGTTCTTATGCTTTTACAGAGTGGATTTACGCCTTTACACATTGCCGCTCATTATGGGAATGTTAATATAGCTAAGTTGTTGATTGAAAAAGGAGCGAATATTAATTTCCAGGCAAAAGTAGGTCTCATTTTCATCATTCACCGATAAAATATCTTGTTAAAGAATCAATTATTTTCTGATATAATACATAATCAGATCAGTACTGACCAGCTGATAAGTTCTGCTTCAATGCCGTTTCAGTTATTCGTGTACACATATAGTATTGAACAAAAACAGTAGTTAGGACAAGAATGAATTATGACTAGGTTATGAACTCAAAAGAGTCTGATATTCTCAATCAGTGATGCTGAAAACCTTAGGAACGTAAGCTAAAAACCTATTAGTGGTTAGTTGTCTGAGAAACAGATAATCTATTTCAGGGAATACAATGAAAAAAGTTGGTTACATTTTAAAACTAGATTAATTGATCTCTAAAAACCATCGCTATGTTGAACTGCCTAGCAAAACAAATGAAAAATATGCTTTTCAATGGATTATTGTCATGTCCTACAGTCACAGTTTCAATTAATGATAAAAAGGAGTTTTTGTAATTGGGGTCAAACTCATTTTTATTAGCAGATTATACATGCAAACAAAATAGGCTTTTTTAAATCTGTTACTTACGTAAGAAAAGCATATTCTTCAGTTTTAGCTGAATGAGTATTACAACATATGGCATAATCATTAATGCGTTTTCATAGCTTAATGAGTATATTATCGACTAATAGGTACTCAAAAATGAAAAAAAATTGTAAGCGATTATTCTAAATATAAACAGTCACCAGTAAATCATAGGTCAAATCGATAAAATTACTATACTATAGAACTTCCGTTTTATCTCTAACCTTATCTGGAAGACATTGAGAATTGTGGAAGTAAGATAGTCAGTAAACAGATGACCAATGCATTTCTATGAATCCTTGTCAACCTACATTAATATTCAGAAAGTGAGACAACTGATGTTCATAACTCACATTGTTAATTCACAGGGTGTATCTGTAACATAAAAAAATATATGCACTTCCCCGGCCTCAGTGGTTGACGATATGACTTCGTAATCTTCTGTACTAAGTGACACAAATGTTATTTATGTGAAATAGTCCAATATTTATAATTACATTTTTAGCGTCTTGTCTTATAATACATTTTGTCAATCATATTTGTAGGGTTAGGGTAGTTTCAGCTGCCCTGCTTCTTTTGTATTTATATCCATAAGTGTTTTGGATGACCCTCAAATCATTTACGTGCTACTTGACTGGAAATTATAGTTGAGGAATGTCTCATTTGAGGTTTTACTTTGGAATTGAAGTAAGTTGGTAACATGGTAGTTGAGAAATTCATTATTATGCGTCAATTTCATTCAAAGCCCTGGAAAACAACCATGCTAGCATCTGTGTAATGAAATGGAAGAAAAAGTTTCTCTAAATGTGTTCTTTTTACATAAATGATGTTCCGAATATGAATTATAATTTGTAATTTTGATTTTCTTCTGTATTTGATGTAACAGAATTGTATAACACCGTTACATGTAGCTGCTAAATGTGGAAAAAATGAAGTTGTAAGCGAACTGATTCTAGCAGGAGCTGAAGTGAATAGCCGTACACGAGATGGACTAACACCTTTACACTGTGCGTCTCGTGCAGGTCAAACTGATACTGTGGAATATCTATTAAAACATGGAGCTGATAATTGTTTGAAAACGAAGGTACTTGTCACAATTTTTTCTATGTTGTGTAATTTAATTAGTGTGTTCTCTGTAGAAAATAATATGAATACTGAATAAATATGGCAAGCCGTACTGTCATTTGTTTGAGGTTAGACATAACCTTTAACCTTAGCCTATGTTAAGTATGTAATCATTCACATTGACAAGTTTATGTTTTGCCGAAGTTGCATGAAACGTACATATAATTAGTTGAATTTTGATTGATTAACAGTCTGTAAATTGTGATAGGACTGACTGGGCGGTTTAATTTGTTGACTAACGACTTTTCAAATTACTAAATTGGATATCATAAAATAACTGGTTTGAATAATTGAATAGTTAACTTACATTTCTAGTATAGAAGACTGCTATTTTATGTTTGAAAGTCTTATATACTGAGCCACTATCAAACTTCAAATGCATTTGGGATTTTCAAAAACATTTAGTGGAGCTGACCTGATATGTGGTACTAGAATCATACATTTGGAATTAGGTCAAATTATTTCATTCATCTCAATAAAATATGGCATTCGACTGCTATCTGGCAAACACATTCCGTGACTATTGGGGTAATATTCTGTCAATAATTAATGTTATACAAGATCTAAGTATTATGAAAAGAAATGACTATTGCGTAATTTGTTTACACTAAGTTCTTATCAAACTAAATCTTCAAACAGGTTTACTATTATTCTATATATCAGGACCCTACCATTCAATACCATTCACAAGTTATTAATAAATTTATCTATAATTATTTACTTTATATCAAAAAAGATTTAAAGGTTCATCGGGATGGGGTCTATCTAATTATCGATTCTTAATAAAGTTTTCACAGTAGAAATGCTGACGAGATTCACACGTTTTCTTTCTAAAATTTGTTAAGTTAGAACTGGCATGTTCTTTTCTAACCTTGAAACATATTTGAATAACTGGTGCTAATAATTCCCACACTTTTTATTGTTAGTCTGGATAAGGAGATATGATAAGCAGAATGATCATTGTTGGAGTTAGAACATATAAATACCTTTCTTTTTTGCGATATTTAGATGAGGTAGTTAATAAATTCTAAGAAGTGGAGAAACTGTAAAATGTTTTGAGTGGAAATAATTCAATACTTAATGTTCTTGGGATAAATGTTTTTGAATATGTAATTCTATTTCACATGTTTCTGCAAATTTTTCTTCGCAGAATGGGTTGACGCCATTGCATTTAGCTGCACAAGGTGCTAATGAAAATGCTGTACGATTACTATTGCGGAATGTATCTAATCCGGATGATGTGACCATTGTAAGTTACAAGTAATGTTTAAAGCATACTACATTAGGACCAGAGAAAACGTTGAATTTGTGGTTGTTTCTAATAATAATTTGTGTTACCATAACAACCTATAATTACTTCTACCGACATTTTAATAGTATAGCATGCTTCTACCAATTAGAAGCAGCCTACTTAAATATTCCTTAATCTTAGCCTTGATTTATCGATTACTTTTCTCTATAAATGATATCATTTGTTTTGAAAGCAGATTTTATACAAATACTTGTAAAACAAACTTTAAATAATATTATTTCCACTAAAATAACAAAAGCAAACTTGTTTGACGTCAGAAATAACTAGACGTGGAACCTTTCGATCATTGTCTGAGAATAAAGACAAGCTTTAAGTCAAACCCATCTTTAGAATCTTGCGTTATAAATCAGTGTCCTCGGGTGGTCTTGGCTTTCGATGCCATAATTCGTGAAAAGCTTAATAGAAATCTGTGGTTGAAAAAACATTATTACACTGTGAAAGGTTTCTACCAGACTCTTATAATCGTTATTGCTTAATAGTTAAACACCGCGCCTATTATTGTCTGTTTCTAAAGCATCCACTGGCACCTGAACAACTAAGTATAATCACAAATTGAATTTAATTGCGTTTATGTAAGAAAGTCTCTTGTTATCATCATCATTATGTCTAAAATAAAAAAGAATTGTTAACTGACATTTATATCTTATTTTAGTCATCTGAACAACAATTATTCATAGTACCGTCAGCTTACCAACAAATTTCCGCATCATACCTTGGCAACAGATTTACTAACCATTAAAGTCTTCTGAATATCCAACTTATAAGAAGAGAATGGTGACCAAAATTTGCTATCAAAAATTATGTAGTCCACATACTGTTTGAGTTGGAGGTAGCGATACGTAATAATCGAAATTGCTAACATCTAATAAAAATTCGTTTTCATTAATGTATTATACGATATTAACCAAGTGTGAACCATTAATTCAACTATCACACTCATTAACTTCGAATTTACTTATGACTTATGAATAAAAGATCTTAAACATGTTTTATTTATATATGAAATTTTATATCTTTTGGCCGAGTGGATGCCCAAGTTAATGTATGACGTGATAAAATCGCCAATCAGAGAACAGTGAATTATCGATTGGAACAGTGACACACGAAAACTGAACGAGCAGTCTAGAATACTTATCGATCCTACTTCTACCTAACCCAGCCAGTTAAGTCCAGAACACCAACCTCAGCCTCCGTGGTATGAATCATTGTATTTCAAACATTCTGAGTTTATATACCAAACAGACTGACCACATCGTACCAATAAAATAGGAAATAACATTTGTACACGGTTCAGCCAAATGTGGTTGTGAATATGGGAGACAGTAATTAATAGACTAGGGATAACTCAAGGATGGTAAATTGTATAATAGTAGTTTATAGGTTAAAATAAAGCTTATAATAAGGGGAACACGAATATGAATAGTTTAGTTATTCTGCAATTATACGATAAAAAATATATGCATAATACTGGTCCGTAAATGGGTGCCAAAGTTACCATTCACTATTGTTATCGGGACACAACATAAAATTAAAAAAGCTACTAATAAGATATTAGTTTATCCAATAGCTGCATTAAAACTTCGAGATTTTCTTAGATCTACGTACATTACATTCTGTTAATGACAACAATCTACCGATACGGATATATGATGAAGCTAATAAATTGTATTCAATGAATGTCTACAATCTTCAAGAAATAATAGATTTAAGTTTAGGATATCAGTATACTTGCCATTCATAAATGAGAAAATTTATTTGATTTATCGGTGAAAATATCCGTTGACAAGTCAAGACAAAAAAGAAATGGAACGATATTTCTAGAGCCGAATAAATGGTATTTAATGTAATATTTTTACTTCTAGAAAATGAAAAGCAAAGCTTTGATGAAAAGTAATGTTCATGAACAGGAAAATATGAGGTGAGATGTAATTTCGACTCTACCAACATCATCTTAGTCTCTGTGGATTCAATGATTCAATTAATGCTTTGATGGTATATGTAATATATACCTCTGTCAATAGCGCGAAGAACCCGTGTTGACTGACATATCTTTATTACGTGAAACTGTGATTAACTAGTTTAACCTATCAATGATAAGATAATGCGTCGAACACAACTAACATCAAACTGCCTTTTTTCTAGTTATTTTATGTTTTGGAAAGAATTGGATACACACTAATGTCTAACAAACAGTTACTTTCGCTAAAGTCGGCCAAAGTGTTTCATCAATAAGGTCAAAATGATTGAAGTACCTGACGGTCATCTTAATTTAATACAGTCAACCAAATCACATTAGTCAGTGATTTCATCAATATTGCTAAATAGTTGCACAGTGCTTAACTTGTCAACAAAGCCTATACAAATCTAATATATTTCTGAGAAACATTTCTTTATTTATGGTCAAAACAGACAAATAAAGATTTGTTCGTAAATGTTGTCAGTATCAGTCAACTGGTTAGCCACTATCCATCTTTGCTAGTCAACTAGTTAGTTGTAAATGAGGTTACTACCGAGAATATAAAGCATAAAAACTAAACTACTTGTCAAACCATTTAAAATTATCTTTGTCTTTTCGTCTCATAGGATTATCTCACTCCTCTACACGTTGCAGCCCATTGCGGTAACGTGGATGTGGCTCGTGTTTTATTGAATTCCCATTGTAATGTTAATGCAAGAGCTCTGGTAAGTCAACCCAAGTAATAACTAGTATACTCAAAACTTATACTATAATAAGAAAGTGAAAAAATTTGTCAGTTGAAGGTTTGTTAGTTCAGCCGCTGAAGGTTATGATTTATTTCATTTGTAAACTAAACTGTATACTGTAAGGGTTGGAGAGTGATCTAGAGGGTTATATGTACGAGAAAATACTTATGACTGACAATTTATAAAATTGTATTCGAACTTAGAATTTAGTTGAAGAACTCCTCCTTATCACGATATGGCAACGAGTGATACAATCACAAGTTTTCCAAAATAGCTCTAATGAATACTGGTTTATTAGCCTTGTGAATAGATCCAAAAAATATTGGAATTATTGAGCGTTAAATAAAGAACACTGAAGCCCACTGAGATACTTAAATTATATTCGGAATTCACAATATTGAAATTAAAAACAAACAAGGCACAATAATAAAAACTAAAAAAAGTATGAAAGTCGACATCAGTTATTAATACTTTAATGACAAACAGGAATGGAAAAGCTAAACTATGAAATAGTTGAACTATTTATTCACCACTGTCGCTTTCTGAATATTTTTTTCTTGACTGAAGCGAACATGAATCATCACGAACAGTAAATGAAAATCGAATCCTGAAATAATATTTTAATGTAATAACAAGTCCTCACTGATTAATCTTTATTTGTGTTTACTGAACGAAATACTTATTATCGATAAAAGTAATTTTCATAACTTTAACTACGAAATAATTTTAGCTAGAACATCATCTAAAACCTAGGATCCCTGGACGGCCATTTCATTTTAGCGTGAATCTCCTCGGCAGTGCACAACCAAGGTAACACACCCAGGAATCGGACCCAGACCTGATGAACAGCCACTTAACCTCTGGACGAATGAGTAACAATCCAATGACATTAATGCACAACTTCAATCATCATGAGATATTACTCAACCCTCATCAACCGCCTTAAAAGGATAACCGTCGCACACTTGATATGGATTTAACTCCACTGATCACGGCTTCATATATTACTGTCCATATATGAATGAAATGCTCATCTTTTGTAAAGACAGTACAAAACAACTAGAGATTCCAAAGCAACTAAGTTTACAAATGAAGAGAGATTTGAAGGCAGAATAGCATTATCGATATCCTACTGACAAAAAGAGCTGGTAGATATAAGTGACAGAAGTACACGTTTCCCTAACATCCTATTACAAAAGTGCGAAAGAAACTCAGTGACAACATCAGGTAATAGAATAACGGCCATATGCAACAACTGAAGAGCCTGAAGTAGAGCTGAACGCTTTGTGTAATATTTTTAGGAGAAGTGGATATGATGGAATGTGTATGAACAAATATATGGTCACAGAAGTGAGAACTGTCCAACCTGTAGGAGGGGAATCATTGTCTATGAACTTAAAATTCAGAGATGTTGCACTCAGTGAAATATTATTCAGGAGATTAGTCAAAACAGTTCAAAGGATGTTCGATGCAGGAAAGCTATGGATAATGTCCAATGGTGACTCCGAGAATAAAAGACTAGTTATTTACTTAGTATTGTTTGTTTGGATCTTCCCATTGACGTTTTTAGGACTGTAACTGGTCAGTCTCTAATTGGCATATGTGCATACTGTGCGTATCGCCTCGATATAGCCTAAATTCACAAGCATGGTAAGCAAAGATGGATAGTGGCTAGCAGTGGAATCCAAGACGCGTGTTTCGTCCTATTTGGGACTCGTCAGCTGGATGTACTTGCATCTCAGAGTGGGTAACGCGATGGCGTTTGAAGCGAAAGGTACTGTGTTCGAGTCCTAGAGTGAACATCAACTCTGAGATGCAAGTACACCCAACTTACGAGTACCAAATAGGACGAAACGTGCGTCCTGGATTCCACCGCTAGCCACTATCCATCTTTGCTTAAAAAGACTAATTATCTTGATCTTGTGGAACAAGTTATGTCGGCTGAATTCCTAAGAACTTACAGTTTCGGGATCGTGAACACTTTCCAGAGTGGCTGAGCACAGGTGCGATCAAGACAATGAATAGTTCAGTAATGTCTCATTTAGTTCAAATGTGTTATACTGTCAGCATAAATCAATCATGTTTGGTAGTTTATCGTATTGGTAATTGCATGCAGAAAATGTCAAACATAGTTATCAGGACGGTGGAATCACTGGTTACGCAAATTGAAAGACCAGAGCTTCGTGTACAAAACAAATTTGTTCAGTCTCTTCTTTTACCTTGACCCATCTCAGGCCTAATAGATCAGTGGTCGTTCCAGTTTGACTAATTTACATACAGTCTTCCCCTTCTGTATCTTCATAATATACATTCCTAATATTCGAATACTGTTACTGAAATTATTATTATTATTATTATTATTATTATTACCATTATTATTAGTCTTGTAAGCAAATGAAGAAAATAGTTGGGATTAACCCCATTTTATTGTTTCTAACTTAATTCCTACCACTTCAAACACTAAGATATCTTCCATTAAACATTGGATGCAATTTGTACCTACATTTTCATTTCTCTTTCTCCGTGTTATCCATATTTATTCTAACTAATGATCACACAAATTCAACTCACCCATATACTGATTCTAGTTAACATTACATGCTAGTTATTTCAGCCTTAACCAGTTTATTTTGTTTCCCAAACGATCCTAAATTCACATGTCATACTTTCAAACGATGTATTTGCCTTAAACTGGGTCATTTTTTGCATGATTGATTTGGATATATGTGTACAACTACATAGCTTGAAGAGAATGGATTGAGGAGAATATTCTTCATCCATTTTTTTTGTTTTCAGTACCACTGCAGTTTTCAAACAGCTTTTCTAACTGCCAAATATCATTTCATAAGCATCTCCAACTTAGGCTGTTTGTTATAAATCACTAAACTTGAAAATGGTCAGAAACCTGATCAATGACGTTGGAAACCTCAAATTATACACCCTCAGCTTTCATAACCATTTTGAATGCTAATCAAATATAATCGTTGCATGGCTAAGATAAATCATAATAACAACTTCATGAGTGAAAATATCAATAAGTTTTCTCAGAGAGTAGCTGTTTATGTTGGCTTTTACTGATACCAGTTAATGATCCGAAAAAGTCATGTAGCAGGTTAATAAAAGAATTTCTTCTTAAATTTATCCAGATCAGAGATAACCAGTTTTCTATCTTTATTCTGAAAGAGATATATAGTTTGCCACTCAAAAGTATATATCTGTGCTTGTTGTTTAGAGTTTCTACATTGTGTTTTGCTATTTATACAGAATGGATTTACAGCACTTCATATTGCATGCAAAAAGTCACTAGTTGAAATGGCTTCACTTCTTCTTAAATATGGCGCTCTCCCTGAAGCCGCCACGGAGGTAAGTAATTGCCTCATATTATTTTGTGGCTTTTCTTCAGGTTCATAGACTTGCTTTTTAATTTTGTGGGTATCAATATGCATTCCTAGATAAATGCTTTCACTAATTAACATCAAATTATTTGTCGAACAAACTCTCCGCTTGCGACATTTTTCCTGCACAGTGAAGAACGCTTTGAAGTAGTCATGGATTGGTTTATTACAGCAGTTCTTCGTTATCTGAGAGAGTAGCAACGGCTTCATCCCAAATCGGATCAAGTGAATTTTCTCCAGAATAATGTGTTTTCCACGTTCCAATTTTCCACGGAAAATATTTGAGTAACTTAGATTTTTCTATTCAAAATGTCTGTGGAAATTACAATGGTCAAAATCTTCAAGATTGTTTTGCTTGGAAGCATGAGAAACGGAAGGTAACCATCGAGTTGTGGTGATACGGTTTGTAGCTTAAAGAGCAATACAGTGTTAAGAAATAATATTGTGCAATTAATCCCTGTCTACCTAAATAATAATAAGCGAAACTTGCTATAGAAAATTTAGCATATTATTAGGCAGTTTGTCACTAGGATTGAGGAATATTTTAACGAAAATTATAGTAACACTTTGTTGTGTAACAGTTTTTATCTGTCAATCCCGTCTAATATAAACTTTGTGTTTGGAGAGTTTTCGTTACAGGTAGCTCTTACTTTTGAGTTCACCAAGAAGCTTTCAGAGATGTTTGTGTTCCCCTGAATATTTTAAGAGAAATTTTCAAAGGTTAGACTTATTTTACAAGTTTAAAAAAGTAAATATGTAAAACACATTTACTGAAATAACAATAACTTTGAAAGTGATCATTTTGTCTCCTATTTATCTACGTTTTATTGAAATGTCAGACTGGTCTCACTCCATTACATGTGGCTGCATTTTTCGGGTGTACAGAAATCGTCTCATTTCTTTTACAACACGGTACGAATGTGAATCAAACAACCTTGCGTAATGAAACTGCACTACATTTAGCGGCTAGAAATAAACAGCTGGAGACAGTGAGAACTCTTCTTGGTTACCAAGCAAATTTAGATTGCCGTACAAGAGTAAGTTATTGACGTATAAGAAAAAACCATTAATGTTTGAATATATTTGATTTTTAAGTAGATAACGAAGGTTTCGAAACGAGTTCAACACAAAATGTAGTTAATATCTAAGTCTGCTCATACTAACATCACTTAGTTTGACCCTCATTCAACACTTATGTTAAAAATTTTCATACTCTTTTAGTGAGGATTGTTGCTTACATTTCAGTATCCTCCAGCATTCGCTAACTGATGAACGCGTCAGCTTTAGATATGAGTGCAGATTCTGAGTGACAAACGAACTATGAGTCTGCTTAATATCAATCAGTTGAAGTGGACTTTACTGTAAGTGTTTATGTTTATAGGCTTATAGTTAATGATTGGAAGTAATGTAGACTTAATATACTCAATAACTATCTATTAATTTCTGAAATAAATCTAGAGTGAGAAAATATTTCTATGTTCAGTCAGAAAATAAGAAATCTAAAACATCTACCCATATACCTACAAAATTGTAAATGTATATAATACTGATTGAGGGCATGATTTCTAATACAAGCGACATGATCTATGTTAATCTAATTATATGAATGTGAATAAAAGAATAAGAATTTAGTTTTAGTTTTCATGTGATCATGAATGATGATCATGTAATGAATTTAACACAGTGAAAATATAGCCATGTTATGAAAAATAAAGTTATTTGCAGATTGTCTTGACCCTATATTTCTTTTTTATTAGGATAATCAAACACCCTTACATGTCGCTGTCCGTACAAACTATCTGCCTATTGTTGAACTGTTATTGAATGCTGGTTCCGATCCTAATATAATGACAAAAGATAATTATACACCATTACATGTAGCTATTAAAGAAGATTCAGATGATATTGTTAGAATATTAATTGAGCACGATGCTAATCCGGAGGTTAAAACGAAGGTGAGTCAATGTTGTCTACGTATTTCTTAAACATGCTCTACTTTTAATAACTAAGTTTTCAATTGAGAACTGAAAACTGATTTATTCAGCGATTGATTTGATGTCAATAACTTATTCGTTAATCATATATTACTGACTACCTTCCCCATGTTTAATTAAGACGCACTCTAACAATGTCACTCATACTCAGCACCTAATCAATATCAGCCGGCCTTTCAGAAAGCCCTACTATAATACAGAACATTGAACTTATTTAAGGCAGTTCACATATTCGAAATGAGTTCATTAAAAAGAAATCACAAACCAAGTTCTAAAGATATATGATATTTTAGTATGTTCATGAGACTATGTGGTTAAAAATTACAAGCAATTTGACGATGACATTCTTCGGGAAGTGACAAAAGATAAAGTCTAAAAACTAATTAATGTCTCATTACTTGTTATAAAAAAATGACAAGTATATGAGATTGGATGAAATCTTAACAAAAATTCTGATGAACAAGAAGATAGGTCAACACGACACTTTAAATAAAAAACTATAGTTTCAAAAAAACTACGTTTCTTAGACTTAGAAACCAATTCCCTGTCGTTTTATCAGCATAGTCGTGGTAACATACATTCACTTAATGATTTGGTTCACGTGTTACAGTTACTAGTTATTCTAATAAATACATCTGCAAATTTTATTTTCAACAGAAAGGATTTACACCCTTACACTTAGCAGCAAAATATGGTTCATGCAAAACAGCCCACTTGTTAATGGAAAGAACAAAGTCTGATCCAAACGCAACTGGTCCCAATGGCTTCACGCCTGTACACGTGGCCACATTCTACAATAATAACAAAGTAAGTTGTCATGATTGGGTAAGCGATCGAGTGCTGCTTCATCTTCATTTAATCAGTCACTTCATTATTTGTCTTTTATTATATTAAATACAAATTTTCAGGTACCAAGATGAGTTACATTTGTGGTTGAATAATCCAACGATAGTTCTTATAAGAAATGTCTAATTAATACTCGGAAGCAAATAAATGTTTCAATATGATTTTATAACAGCTTAATGTTACTAAGTGCTAACATACGTAATGTTTTGGACACAACGAAACTAGAAAATCGACTATCACAGTAGGTGTTTACTATTACCAAGATACCTGTAAACTCTAATCATAGAATTTACTAAGTATCATCACCAAGTTTGACTTAATAATTCGAAATAAACTAAGGATTGGGTTAACTGTTTATAGTAGTATTTTTTTAATATCCCAATAAATAAACTTGTGTATATATATAATTTGGTCTGTCAGCCAATGCTAAATAGTTGGAAAGGAACTGATACTAGTGGTCGAAAATGGTAGGTTATAAACGGTTTTCGAATTGTAAATCATCTTTCAAACCAGCAATATTCCTGTGTGGGTAGCGAACTATCAATGATGTAAATAATAATTGGTGGTTGAATTTCTTCAAAAGAATATTCTATATTTTAATGTCTTTTTAGACATATAATTTAATCACAATTTTTATTTCACAACCGCCGTGTGACGTTGTAAGAGCAGTTAATCAGTCTGATATTGCAGCAATCTGGGATCTGTTCGGGCTCGTCTGTCTGTTACCTTCTCATGGAAAATAATCAACTGAGTTATTACTTAATTAACTGAACTTTGGATTAACTTCTACGATACCATCTACTTAGAGCTTAAACCACCATGAGTACCTAAAACTTATTTTGCTGTTGATTCTATTGCAGTCCTTAACATGTTAACCATATATGATTATGAGTTATGATTACCAAGAGCGTGAGGTTGAAACTGTTTATTCTATTCATAATCATTCCTAAAACATTAGTGATTTTCTTCTTTTGACAGTATCGTCAAACCAGTTGAAATTTATATCTGATTTTTGCATTTACTTTAAAGATGCTGGATAAGTTGATAGAATTTGGAGGTGATGTCAATCGACCTGTCAAAAATGGCTTTACGCCACTTCATTTAGCAACTAAACGAAATCATCTGGATTCAATCCACTTATTAATATCCAAAGGAGCCATAACTGATAAAGGTTCAAGGAACGGTTATACACCACTTCATTTAGCCTCACAAGATGGTCAAATCGAAATAGTTAAAGTTCTCGCTGAAAAATACAAAGCTCAAGTGGATGCTACAGCCAAGGTATGTATTGTGTAGATAAAATGATATCCCCATAAGAAATATCATCCACTTTCATTTATTTTCTAATTTACACTTTTATTCTACTACAGAATAGCTCATCATATTGCATTTATTAGGATAATCTCAACCAGTCGAAAACAAATGTGAATTTGCTGATTAACTTGTCTTCATCGGATTGAAAATTACATAAAGGTGATCAAAGTCTGAACGCAGAACTTACAGACTCCATTAAGACTGTACTAAGCCAGGTCTGTCGGCTTAAGAATTATGGGTACAGCTATTCTGTTTTATGCAATAAAGGGAACTAACTGCATGAAATTTATGCAATTAGTTCGCTTTATGAATTTAAATAAAGCCAGAATAAATATTGATGGAGAATAATATGAATTCATTAGATTTCGTGGTTTCTCATCAGCTGCTTACAACCAAATTTGTGTTAGAATTTAAACATTGGGATAATAAACAGTGTGGAACTATTGACATAAGTGAATGTAAAGGATTGGAATGACAAAAGGTTATCAATGATAACAAATATAACTGCAAGAAAAGGTCAGAGGTTATTAGGTGTTAAAATCAAGGAAGTATAAAGGGGGGGGGTGTAATAGCTGAGTGGAGTTCAGAGACAGATAAGATAAAATGTCGATTGTTCCACACTATTTATTACCCCAATGCTAAAATTCTAACACATATTTGGTTGTCAGCAGCTTATGGGAAACCACGAAATATAATGAATTCATATTACTCTGCTCGCTTTATTTATATTCTGTTTTACCCGTTTTTAACAGAGATTAGCTCAAGAGATTGATCGCTAAGGTGATTATATACTTAGATCCATGAACTGAAATTCCTTATTTCTTTATTTCATTCTATATACTTACAATATATTACTTTTATAGGACGGTTTAACACCACTACATTTGGCGGTACAGGAAGACAAAGTTAGTGTAGCTGAATATTTATTAAGTTCAGGCGCGTCCATTAATACGAAAACACTGAAAGCTGGATTTACACCGCTACATTCATCTGCTTATAGGGGACAGCTCGCCTCTGTTCGTTTACTTCTATCATGTGTCCCTGAACATGAACTTCAGCAAGTTATAAACAGTCGCACTCATATGGGTTCAACTTCACTGCATTTGGCAGCACAACAAGGTCATCTACAAGTAGCTCTAAAACTGATTCAAATGGGAGCTGATCCAAACATTTGTAATAAGGTAATTTAAAAAGAATCTTTTTATCACACTAATTATAACTTGAATGTTTATACTCTTCTGTGAACACTATTTCTTTAGGTCAAGCGTATGTCTAGTAACAGTTTTGTTGATAATGTTTAATCGTAAATAATGCTCGGCGAAATTTTCATAACTTTTAATTTTTTAGCAAGGATGGACAGCAGCAAAATTAGCTCATAAGCAACATTACTTGAACTTGTTCGAATTGTTGCAATCGATTACAACTAATGGCGGTGATGGGAGTTTACCTAGTTCAAATGGAATAGATGATAATGTAAATCTAATCAATGGTGTAATGCCCTTAGAAAAAGCGGAATATATGACCGATCATATGATTTCAGATAGTGAAGATGAAGGTAGTGAGATTTTTAACTTTTTAAATATAAACCTGAATCATTTGTCAAATAAAGTATTAAATTACTGTACAAAATATACTGCTCTATTTAGTTTCATTCAGCAGTAGTTACGTAACCACCTTAAACACTATGTCAAAATAACTAATTATTACACATTCACGGACAAGGTTTCTTCAAAACTCAAATATATTATTAGTATAATAGCCAAACTACCATTATGGCATTCTACATAAATATTTCAGCTCATGTTAGCAAGAGGTTTAAACCCGTATGGAGCATGTCCCTTCTGAATACAAATTTACACTTACTTATACTTATTCGTTAAATAAAAAGTTTTTTAACACTAATGATTCTAATTTTCACCAGGAAAATAGATCCAGAATCTTAGAAAAACTCTTATGCAGTCATGGATCGGTAGTAATAGTTTCCACTCATATCATTACTGATAGTTTCAGTACCAATTCATACTGTTAAAGGAAATGTTTAACCTAGTGAGAAAATAGCAAGTTAGACGATTACTTACTTACTTACTTACTTACTTACGCCTGTTACCCCTCGTCGAGGAGCATAGGCCGCTCACCAGCATTCTCCATCCAACTCTGTCCTGAGCCTTCCTTTCCAGTTCTTTCCAGTTGCTATTCATCCTTTTCATATCGGCTTCTATTTCCCGGCGTAGTGTGTTCTTTGGCCTTCCTCTTTTCCGCTTCCCTTCCGGATTCCAAGTTAGGGATTGAGTCGTGATGCACATTGGTGATTTCCTTAATGTATGTCCGATCCACTTCCAACGTCTTTTCCTTATTTCCTCTTCAGCTGGAAGCTGGTTTGTCCTCTCCCATAAAACGCTGTTGCTGATAGTATCCGGCCAATGGATGTTGAGTATTTTGCGTAGACAACTGTTTATAAATACTTGTACCTTCCTGATGATGGCCGTAGTAGTTCTCCACGTTTCAGCTCCATACAGTAGGACTGTCTTGACGTTCGTATTAAAGATTCTGACCTTGAAATTGGTTGAGAGTTGTTTTGAGTTCCATATGTTCTGCAATTGTAGAAATGCTGCCCTTGCTTTGCCAATCCTTGCCTTTACATCTGCATCCGATCCTCCTTGTTTATCAACGATGCTCCCCAGGTACTTGAATGTTTCCACCTCTTCCAGAGTTTCGCCATCAAGTGTGATTGGGTTGGTGTTCTCCGTGTTGCATTTGAGAATCTTGCTTTTTCCTTTGTGAATGTGGAGGCCTATCGATGCGGAGGCTGCTGCTACATTTGCTGTCTTCATCTGCATTTGGTCGTGTGTATGAGAGAGGAGGGCTAGGTCATCTGCGAAGTCCAAATCATCTAATTGATTCTGAGAAGTCCATTGTATTCCGTATTTCCCTTCGGATGTCGAATTCGTCATAATCCAGTCAATCACTAGAAGGAAGAGAAATGGGGAGAGTAGACAGCCTTGTCTGACTCCGGTCCTTACTGGAAATGCATCTGTCAGCTGTCCTCCATGCACCACTTTGCACTGTAATCCGTCGTATGAGTTTTGGATAATGTTGACGATCTTCTGAGGAACTCCATAGTGTCGAAGAAGTTTCCACAATGTTCTCCTATCCACGCTGTCAAACGCCTTCTCATAGTCGATGAAGTTGACGTATAGTGATGAGTTCCACTCAACTGATTGTTCAACGATGATCCGTAGTGTCGCAATCTGGTCTGTGCACGACCGATCCTTACGGAATCCAGCCTGATGATCCCTAAGTTCGGCGTCTACTGCGTCTTTCATCCGATTCAGCAGCACTCTGTTGAAAACTTTTCCTGGTACTGATAACAAACTGATGCCTCTGTAGTTCTCACATTGGCTCAGATCTCCTTTCTTTGGTATCTTGATGAGATATCCTTCTTTCCAGTCCGTTGGCACTTGTTCCTCTTCCCAAATCTTTTTGAATAAAAGGTGAAGCATGTTTGCAGTTATTTCAATGTCTGACTTCAGTGCTTCTGCTGGTATATTGTCAGGTCCTGCCGCCTTCCCACTTTTGATTTGTCTGATGGCCATCTTGACTTCTTCGATCGTTGGTGGAGTGACATCTATTGGAAGGTCTGTGTGGGCTGCTTCGATGTTCGGTGGATTCGATGGGGCTGGTCTATTCAGCAGTTCCTCAAAGTATTCTGCCCATCTTTTCCTCTGTTCCTGAATCTCAGTGATTGTCTTTCCTTCTTTGTCTTTGACTGGTCTCTCTGGTTTGCTATATCTCCCTGCCAATTTCTTCGTTGTATCATATAGTTGTTTCATATTCCCTTCTCTTGCAGCTTTTTCCGCCGCCGTTGCTAGTTCTCCCATGTATTTCTGCTTGTCGGCTTTAATGCTTTTCTTCACTTCTCTGTTTGCTTCTGCGTAGTCTGCTTGTGCTTTGACTTTCTCTGCTCGTGTTCGGCTGTTGTTAATTGCTAGTTTCTTGTTCTTCCTTTCTTGAAGTTTGTCCAGGGTCCCCATAGAGATCCATTCCTTGTGATGGTGCTTCTTAGGACCAAGAACCTCCTGACACGTTGAAGTTAGTGCTTCTTTTATCCCTTTCCAGTTGTCCTCCAAAGTAGTTTCTTGTTCTTTCAGTAGATCCTGTAGAGCTTGGAACCTGTTGTTGAGAGTTATCTTGAATTCATGGAGTTTGTCAGTATCTCGAAGGAAGGCTGTATTAAACCTTTGTAGTGCTGTTTGTCCAGTTGTCCAGTCTTTCTTTAGCTTCAGTCTCATTTTGGCCACAACCAGGTGGTGATCTGAAGCTATGTCAGCTCCTCTCCGGGTTCTCACATCTTCCATTGATCTTCGGAATTTTTTGTTGATACAGATGTGATCAATCTGGTTCTCTGTGGTGTGGTCCGGTGAGATCCATGTAGCTGTGTGTATGCGTTTGTGTGGGAATATTGTGCCGCCTATAACCAATTTGTTGAAAGCACATAGGTTTGCAAGTCTCTCCCCATTTTCATTTCTCTCTCCTAGTCCATGTCGTCCAATTACATCTTCATATCCTGTGTTGTCCACTCCAACTTTAGCATTTAGATCTCCCATAAGGATGGTGAGGTCCTTTCGTGAGCACTTTGCTATAATTGATTGCAGCCTTTCATAGAACTGATCTTTATCATCGTCGTTGCTATCATTGGTGGGTGCATAACATTGGATAACGTTCATTGTGATCCCCTCTTTCTTTGTTCTGAATGATGCTTTGATTATCCTGGGTCCATGAGATTCCCATCCCACAAGTGCATTTCGTGCTTCTCTGGACAGCATTAGAGCAACTCCCTGAGTGTGTGGCGCATTTTCCCCTTCGTGACCGGAGTACAGCAGCATCTCTCCTGTACCTAGCCTTTGTTGTCCAGTTTGTGTCCAATGGGTTTCGCTGATTCCGAGTACTGCCAAGTTGTATCTCCTCATTTCCATTGCTATTTGGCTGGTCTTTCCTGTTTCCCACATTGTCCGGACGTTCCATGTACCTATAAAGAGTGTTGCTCTGGTTGTTAGAAGGTGCATCGGTCTCGTGACTTCCGAAGAATTTCGGCTTTCATCATGAGACGTCATTATTCCTTCAACTCCCAGGGCAGAGTTTAAATGGTTTGAATTATTTTTTCTGGTTAGCGTTTTTTTAGCGAGTTAGCTTTTCTACGGGATGGGGTCGCTAACCCCATGCCCAACCCTCCTCCTTTACCCGGGCTTGGGACCGGCAGTAACTCTAGAAGAGCTACAGGCGGAGTTAAGTTAGACGATTAAGCAGATTAATTTATGCTTAAAAAGTATATTAGTCGATATTAGCACTTGCAGGGCGAAACCTTTCTATTCGTCTTTCTATGGGACATTTACTCGAGACAAAAGGATTCAGATCATTCGTTGCTATTTATTGTGACTGATGTGGTCTCTTTGTTTATTTTCTTCGTCATTACAGAGAATAGGATATTATTTACTAACTGAGAAACGTGTCCTAAAAGCCTGATACTAATAAGAACCGTAATTCAGTATCTGAAGTAAAATTCAGTTGAATGTAGTAAAACACAGATTTTTCTTCCCAATGAAATGAACTCTATTTGATTTAACAAAGATTCACGTTTTGAAAATGGGACATCGTTTTGAGAGCATCTCATAGTATTAGTCCATAACATTGTTTACATAAGATAAATTAATACTAATACTCATAGGTAACCTTACACATAATGAATATTTTCAGAAACTATAAGAAGCGATCATAGTAACCGCATAAGAGATACATTTTTCTATGTGAATGTCTTAATGTATAAGTGTTGTAATTAATAAATGTTGTTTTGATGGTATTTTTGTATTAATATACAGCCGAACTTTTATCTACACCAGCAATGTGTCGATATCCCAAACAACGTAAAGGAAATTTTGATGAAACAGGTAGGAGTATTACACCGAATACATTTGCCCTACGTATAAATGTTTGAGTTTAGAGGGTTTTATTTATGATTATTGTTCATTCCAATCACCTTTCTAAATTTCTCCATTTGATTAATTTCTAATCAAGTTTAAAACCTTGGTAACCAAAATTCATAATGTTGTCAACTACACTAGACATTTTTAGTGTACTTAAAATGTGAACAAGTAATTGTAGAATGTTGGTAGTCACCCAGTGAATTATTTATAGCATCGGTAAAGATAATAGATTTTAAAAATGTCCATTACATTTAAATGCATTAATAAATAAACTAAGAATATACTTTTTAATCCTACAGTCACAATTTCAAATCATGGTAAAGAATATTATTAGTTGAGGTCAAACTCATTTTCATTAGCAGGTTATACATGTAACCAAAGTAGATGTGCTAAAGTTTGGTAGATATTGTGATGATAAGTATGTGTTGATTGCTTCATTCAGGCCTCTGATCAACACGTTTTCGATCAGAAGTCATACAATGTATAAAATGATATGAATTATGAAAGACAATTAAAATAGGGGGGATGATGAGTAAATGGTTCATATGTGTAACTGTCATATCATAGTGAAGACATAAGTACGGGTAACTTCCGGGATCTATTAATAGACTATCATTCTATATATATATATATATATATATATATATATATATATATATATTCTTATTGCATAACCATTCAGTAATTAGATTGTATGTATCTATATTCATCTTATCATAAGCTTCGTGGAACAACTTCTCATACTACTTTTTGCCCGTTCCATTGACAGCCAGAAATAAACGAAAACAAAGTCTCCCTGAATAGACCCTAGTTAGCATGATACTTCCATTTGAGGTTCTCTGTTGATCACTCACAATTATCAATTATATTAAATGTCCATTAAGTTCCACGGTTTATGATCAGTATTAAGTCTCAGACTTTTATTATTTTATACTGTAAATTGTTCTTGCTGTTGCTTAACTTAGATGTTGTGCGAAAGATAAAAAGTTGTTATAAATTTATTCCGCTGTATGTTTATTGTTGAGAATGAAACTGGTTATAATCAGGTTCATATGATATATTATGTCACCAACGTGAGTATATGAAAACGCGTATTGGTAGGTGGAAAGAAGGATATTAAATAAAGTAGTGATTAATAATTTGGAATTCATCCTAAAGTAAAAAATAATTCATCAAAACAGAATACTGTCCAAATAATTAATCAGACTACTTGAATTGAGACGAAATATTAGTTTTCCTCTCAAATTCATTATGATCTACATATAATGTCGGATTCAAGTAGATACCTCTTGATCACTATAACAATGCACTCAAAACGTAGTTTCATCAAATGAGTACGAATGCACAGTTTAATTCATACAAAACTTGAGCACCAAAACTACGGCTTAATTATTGGTTAAATTTTGTTGTAGGTCAACCACATTACCATCTTGCCCATTTACAAAGTTTCAAGAAAATAGTTATTCTTGACAGACTGGTGATACTGGTATCTGCTTACGCTTAAAATCTAACGTATTCATCTAAAAGTAGTTCCACAGTTAAGGAAAAAGTCAAGCAGTTATTAGCTTATTACCCTTAGAATATGAGCAATAATCAGCGCATATTTCAGAGCCCTAAATTATTTTTATTCTCATTTACTGCTGTTCATTTACATGTGTCCACAACTTAACACTGAAAACATCTACTACACGATTGCCGGTTGGATGTATGCTAACAGATAGGTGTTGCTTTACATCCAAACATTCATAGTTAATCACATTAATGTCCTAAATAAGTGTTTCCTTATCACACTATCGCTGGTAGACACACGACTTAAAATAGACAAAAGTTTCACTTTATGCACCTTAATTACAGCACTTTAAAAGTTAGGCCAAATTAACTTGAAGAAACAAGCGAAGGTAAATTTAGGCGTAGACAAATTTCGTTTTCTGAACGTGATATAATTTTATCGATAAACTGAACCATTTACATAAATTAATTAGCTACAGTCTCATTTCCCCAACACTTATACCATAATACAGAACCCCTTCCTCAAAACCATTTTTGAAATAACGTTGCGAAAACGACTGTTGTTTTAAAATTTTGTGCAAACTTTTGTTTATCCGCTTTTCCTCTTCATGCAACTGCTCAAATATATCTTCTCTGATCACGAATCTGGTCTGTTATTATAATAACACTGCTATTGTTTGTATCGTAAACCGAATACAATCCACTTCACCAAACCAGGAGACAACGATATGACATCAATTCCAAGTACACCAACTATGGATAATAAACTCATATCAGTCCGCCCAACAACACTGCGTATTCCTGAATATCATTTAACTGGTGAGCAGCATAGTTTTAAATATACCGAGTGCATATTTTGTATATTAGTTTACTGTGAATAATATAGTGGTTTTCACAAGAATTTGTTTCATATTAGTGGCGAATGAGATATCAATTAGGGGGATGCATAAAAATATGTCAGTTGTTTTCAAATGTTATTAGCAAATCCTTCACTTGTAGCAAGACCCATGATTCATAGTAGAACAATTGAGGATTTGTTTTTGTTTTTCTAAACGGGAACATACTTGGGACTTTGGTGTCTAGTGACAAGTGGTGGACAATTTTGACGAAGATGAAATTTGCATACCTGGCGGTTCTTCATGAATTATTGTGAATAAGGTCATGATTTGTAAGGCGATTAAACAAATCCTCTTGATCATTCCCGTATATTGTATTGTTAGCTTATTAAAGTGGACACATTGTTTCGTTTGGAGTCGCGACTTTATGAGCACGTTACCATGAGCCAAAATTAACACTGCTCGGTAAAATATATAAACAATAAGCATATACACAGAGTCCAACTAATTTTACGTAAAATCAACCTTTAACTATGTTTGATGCTTGCAGATGTTTTTTAAACCTACTTATTCAACGGCCCCATATAATTTTATCATAGATAAACGTAATTAATTCATGATTTCTATTGGCTATTTAAATAATAATCATTCTTTACAAGGGTTGTACAAATTAGTGATGCTCGCAACTCTAGTTTCTCAATGTTTGGACAAATAGGCAGAGACTTCCATTCATTCAAGTTAAACTTATCAACGAAGATAAATTCCCGAACTCCATAACTATGATGTTAATCAAACATTGTTGATTGTTTAACTACTTTCCTTCTAATCAGTTTTCTGTTTTATCATTTACTTATTTTAAGCCTTAGGGGGTGAAACTCTTTGCTCCAGTCTTCATGAAAGTATGACCGAGGAACGCGTGAAGCCAATGCTTAATGGAAAAGTATGTGTGTTTCTAATAATATTGCTTGATTTACTGATGCTCAAGAGGGAATCCTATTACAGCTTTATATAAGGCATTGTTTAGCTCTATATAAAAAACAAGTTCATCATTAGGGTTCATAGATAATTTTGGCTTTTTATTAACTCGCCATTATACCTAAATGACACGAGATTACACGCCGCTTTTAATTACATTCAATGGAATAGTGAATTAGATTCATGTTACTAGTCTGCGCTCCTGCGCTCGACTTCATTCTTACTATATATTAAATATCCATCTGTCTATAAATTCCTTTCAAAATTAAGACTTTCACTTCAGTCGTTATATAATGATAATTGAGTGAAATTCGATAAACAAATAAATCCCATCAGACTCAAACTTTGAATGTCGTCCAATTTACGTCAAGGCAGTAAGTGTAAAATCTTTGAAAATACAAAACATCTGTTCAGAATAAAAATAACGCTTAAAAGTTAAAATTTACTAAGAATTATGAAATGAACAACTAAAAGAAAGAATAGATACTTCTGTTCTTAAAATCAAAGAGGGTAGGCATTTAAAAACACTCATAGTTTTAATATCTGGTATCATTTACTTACCCTAAACTCTCAGCTACCAATTAAATGGTCCATTAAAAATTTGGTAGAATACTTCTCAATGTGACATAATAGTTGGATATATGTAGGTACATCCTTCCTATACACTTCGTCTACAATTTATGTCTATCGATTTTGATACAAATGGAAATTCTTTGAGTAAATATCTCGATCGTAAAAACAATCCTTACAGTATTATTCAGCAGAAATACTAGCCTAATGGGGTCCCTAAAACGAAAGGTCATTTTTCCTAGTCAAATGGTAGTACTGAATATGATGATAACAACACTGAAACCGTGGATATGGATGTATAACCATTGGATTGCGTGCAATAAACAGACGAGAGACTACACTACTAGACAGCTGAATTACTATAGATACCTCTCGTTCAACGTGTATTAGCTATCAATGGGCTTATTTATATTATTGATAGAGTGGACCAGCTTATGATCGTTTGTAGTTCTTTCTGTATGTAATTCGTTCGCTGTTCTTCATCACATCCTACCATTAAACCAAAAGGGGGAAGATAAATGATACTAACAACTAGTTAATCTCGAAAATTAAAGTTTATACTGACTTTATAACCTCAGACATTAGTTTTTGACCTAGAATGTGACTATGCCGCTCAGTAACATGAAATGAAGAGTGAAATGAAGACGAAACTTTCGTCTTGCATCTCACAATTAATCCTCAACTTCGGAAACTATTACATTGTACTTCAGAAAAGTTTCAAGAACAATGTATAAAACGTTCACAAGTTAACATAGGTCAACGAATTCTATCCTCTTAACACTTCATTAATATATAGTAATCAGAACATGTGAACATTTCACATTCGGTTTGCAACCAGTTATAAGCATTCATAACAGATGACTGTAGACAAATATCAGGTTAATGACAAGTTTCCATGTTAGTGTAAGTTTCTTAATCTAGAATGATTTAAATATTAAGCCTATTATTGATTTTAATTGAAATAATGAACCGACCAATGTCAGAACACAATTGAAAACCTGAAATCACTGGGTGGGCGTTTCATTCTAATATGGGGTTGCTCAGCAGTGCACATCCACAATTAACCTTTCGATTTAACGGTGTCAATGTCTAACTTCAACCAATCCACGACATTGCTCGAATATCTGTTATCTTTAAGGAGTACCTACCTCATACCCAACACGGTTTAGCACCATTGGTCACCGCTTTTCACCAGGACTCCGGACATTGTCACTCAAAGCTAGTGACTGGTGGGCAGATAGTAACTGTCAATTTGGGAGGTTGTCGATTCTCATTGAAATCAGGAAGTCGTGGATGCATATACTATAAGGAAACGGCTGTACTTCCAGATGTCTAGTGATGGTCTAACGGAGATCAATTTGTGATTTTAATGAAATTCAACAATCTCGACGACTATATTGAGTATTATTGATTTGTTGAAGTATTCAGACATTATTCATTTTTCGAAAATTTAAAACAATTCACCCCTTTAATTAGGAATAATATATTTGTAAAATCTCAGCGAATGAATTTGTAGTAAATCCAACATTTTGCCTGGCAATCTGGTCCAAGCTTTTTCAAGGAATTATTATTCACCCCTTTGATAAACTTTGTCAGTGCAATTAGAAGAGGAAGGTTATCAGGATTATGCGATATATTTACGCAATATATTTCGGAAAGTCTGGTGATATATATACCTATTTAACATTAAAATTAAAAACACGAATTTCAGCGAAGGGATCTCTTTTCAACGAATTTATTATCAAGCTGTACAATCGTATATATATATGAAAAAGTTTTGTTAAAGTACTAATTCCGTGAGGAAATGTGAACACTAATAACCAAGATTATAATACTGGATTACGTAATATGAATAACAACAATAGATTTAGTGAATATAGTAAGACGGATAAAATGTTTTGGTTACAATAATTAAAGGTCATTAAAGGTCATAGAGGTGTAAAATAAATAAATAAATAAGGTGATGAGTATTCATGAATAAAATAATAAGAATATAAAACATAAGTAAAGGGGGGAATGGAGTAATAATAATAATATTAAGGCCATGGTAACGATAATGATAAAACGTACTTCTTTTGTACGCATAGTTCTGGTTTGAGCTCATGGATGGTAAGAGCTTCGGCTATTTTTAAGAGTTTGATACGAAGAAATCTTGGTAGATTTGAACGAATCATATAAACAACCTTAAAATCAGACTGTGGATTCGTCGAATGATTACAGTCGATTAAGTGTTCAAGTATAGAACTTCTAACTGATTTCCTTTCACCCTTGTAGAACCAAACTGGTATATGTTCTCGTATCCGAGTTGAAAGCGATCGTTGGCTACGGCCGATGTACCTTGCTCCACAAGAGCAGGTGAACTGGTAGATGCACATTGAGGCGACCAAACGAGGGAGCTTATCTTTTATGGACACAGAGAATAAGTTCTTACTAGTGAAGGATATTCGTAGTTTAGCAGCGTTAAATGTCCTTTTAATCGTTGTTGTTAAACGATTTTTAATTATGTCTGATGTTCGATCACCTTTAAATTCCAGACTTATATAAAGGCTTTTCTTTGGGACTGAATAACTAAGATTCCTATCGACGCTACTTCTATTCATATTCTTCTCTATGAATCGGTCTGGGTAGCCATTTTTCATCAAGGTTTTCTTGAGGAACTCGAGTTCTTCGTTAATGCATTCAGTACTACATATCCGATGTATACGATAGCATAAAGAATGAATCAAATTTCTCTTTCTATTTAACGGAACCCAGCTATAGAAGTTGGTTAGTTGGCCGTTCCATGTTTGCTTTCTAAAGATAGATCTTTTCAAAGAACCATTACTTCTTCTCAATAGATGTACATCAAGAAAAGGGATTGATTGGTCTTTCTCTCTTTCTAAAGTAAAGTCTATGGAAGGGTGGCATGAGTTAAAGGAATGTAAGATATCGTCCAAATCAATGTTATCGTCACAAACGACAAATGTGTCGTCTATGTATCTTACGTATAGTTGGAATCGATTTATCATTGAATTGAGTTGATTGTTTTCTAGTTTTGCCATGAAGCAGTCTGCTAGAATTGGACCTAATGGAGATCCCATTGCAATCCCATCTCTTTGTCGATATATTTCATTGTTGAAACTAAACTGGACATTAAAGGTACAACGTAACATTAATTCTTTTAAGAGTTCAGTTGGAATACCTAGATCTATGTTGTTAGAGTCAATATACTCACAAATATAACAAATCGTTTCCGTTAATGGTACACTAGTGAATAAAGAATTAACGTCAAGCGAGAACATGTGTTTTCCGGAAGTATTAACATCCTTAATACGATCAATAAATTGAAAAGTATCATGAATAGAATATTTAGATACTTGCCTTCTAACTGGTTCCAATTTTTCAGCTAACCACTGGGCTAATCGGTGGTATGGTGAGCTTGACATATCCAAAATGGGTCGTAATGGTAAACCAGCTTTATGTACTTTAGGTAGTCCGTATAAGCGTGGGATGATTGAACCCATTGGGCGTATGTGATCGTATAAATCCTGGGTTATTATCCCCTTATTTTTAAGATTTTTAACAATATCCGTTAGTTGTTTTTCAATCTGCAGTGTTTTGTCACGTTCTCCTTTAGGTTTGTAGAATTTAGTGGCATCCTCTAGGATTAACCTCATTTTATACAAATATTCTTGACGGTCAAGTAATACTACACCGGCTCCTTTGTCGGGTTTACTTAAGATTAAATCATTATTTCTTTTCAGGAGAATTAGCTGATCCAGGTGGTTCTTAGTTAATAAGTTATTCTTAGCACATTGTATATTAACATACCCATGACTACAGTCCAGTAGTGTGGATTTGAAATGCTGAAGATTTTGTGGGGATGTCGGCATAAGATCATGAGTTTGGTTCGATAGATTTTCGAATTGAATTTGCGTATAAAGTCTACTGCTATTTGAGGTGCTATTACAGAATTTGGGACCCAATGATAGGGCCTGCAATTGGATTGTCGAAAGTTCAATAGAGGAATGATTAAATACATAGTTTTCGGGATGTTCTGGAAACTTCTTAATCACGTCTACATGTTGCAATGTTTCTAAATGTTTACGTTTAGCTTTTTGTGACTGTTTTTCAGTAACATCAGTAACATAATCCTCAAATTGTTTACGTTCATCTACCGACAATTCAAACAATGCGTGACTTCTTAGAGATATATTGCGATCTAGTTCAACTATTCGAGATTTAATAGCATCGATACAATTGAGTGCATGACGTTTGAGAGTTTTTGCATTGGGATGAATGTGGTTTCGTCTTAGTGCCTTCCAGAAGAGTTTAGGGTAATCGAAAGTAATGATTACCCTAAACTCTTCTGGAAGGCACTAAGACGAAACCACATTCATCCCAATGCAAAAACTCTCAAACGTCATGCACTCAATTGTATCGATGCTATTAAATCTCGAATAGTTGAACTAGATCGCAATATATCTCTAAGAAGTCACGCATTGTTTGAATTGTCGGTAGATGAACGTAAACAATTTGAGGATTATGTTACTGATGTTACTGAAAAACAGTCACAAAAAGCTAAACGTAAACATTTAGAAACATTGCAACATGTAGACGTGATTAAGAAGTTTCCAGAACATCCCGAAAACTATGTATTTAATCATTCCTCTATTGAACTTTCGACAATCCAATTGCAGGCCCTATCATTGGGTCCCAAATTCTGTAATAGCACCTCAAATAGCAGTAGACTTTATACGCAAATTCAATTCGAAAATCTATCGAACCAAACTCATGATCTTATGCCGACATCCCCACAAAATCTTCAGCATTTCAAATCCACACTACTGGACTGTAGTCATGGGTATGTTAATATACAATGTGCTAAGAATAACTTATTAACTAAGAACCACCTGGATCAGCTAATTCTCCTGAAAAGAAATAATGATTTAATCTTAAGTAAACCCGACAAAGGAGCCGGTGTAGTATTACTTGACCGTCAAGAATATTTGTATAAAATGAGGTTAATCCTAGAGGATGCCACTAAATTCTACAAACCTAAAGGAGAACGTGACAAAACACTGCAGATTGAAAAACAACTAACGGATATTGTTAAAAATCTTAAAAATAAGGGGATAATAACCCAGGATTTATACGATCACATACGCCCAATGGGTTCAATCATCCCACGCTTATACGGACTACCTAAAGTACATAAAGCTGGTTTACCATTACGACCCATTTTGGATATGTCAAGCTCACCATACCACCGATTAGCCCAGTGGTTAGCTGAAAAATTGGAACCAGTTAGAAGGCAAGTATCTAAATATTCTATTCATGATACTTTTCAATTTATTGATCGTATTAAGGATGTTAATACTTCCGGAAAACACATGTTCTCGCTTGACGTTAATTCTTTATTCACTAGTGTACCATTAACGGAAACGATTTGTTATATTTGTGAGTATATTGACTCTAACAACATAGATCTAGGTATTCCAACTGAACTCTTAAAAGAATTAATGTTACGTTGTACCTTTAATGTCCAGTTTAGTTTCAACAATGAAATATATCGACAAAGAGATGGGATTGCAATGGGATCTCCATTAGGTCCAATTCTAGCAGACTGCTTCATGGCAAAACTAGAAAACAATCAACTCAATTCAATGATAAATCGATTCCAACTATACGTAAGATACATAGACGACACATTTGTCGTTTGTGACGATAACATTGATTTGGACGATATCTTACATTCCTTTAACTCATGCCACCCTTCCATAGACTTTACTTTAGAAAGAGAGAAAGACCAATCAATCCCTTTTCTTGATGTACATCTATTGAGAAGAAGTAATGGTTCTTTGAAAAGATCTATCTTTAGAAAGCAAACATGGAACGGCCAACTAACCAACTTCTATAGCTGGGTTCCGTTAAATAGAAAGAGAAATTTGATTCATTCTTTATGCTATCGTATACATCGGATATGTAGTACTGAATGCATTAACGAAGAACTCGAGTTCCTCAAGAAAACCTTGATGAAAAATGGCTACCCAGACCGATTCATAGAGAAGAATATGAATAGAAGTAGCGTCGATAGGAATCTTAGTTATTCAGTCCCAAAGAAAAGCCTTTATATAAGTCTGGAATTTAAAGGTGATCGAACATCAGACATAATTAAAAATCGTTTAACAACAACGATTAAAAGGACATTTAACGCTGCTAAACTACGAATATCCTTCACTAGTAAGAACTTATTCTCTGTGTCCATAAAAGATAAGCTCCCTCGTTTGGTCGCCTCAATGTGCATCTACCAGTTCACCTGCTCTTGTGGAGCAAGGTACATCGGCCGTAGCCAACGATCGCTTTCAACTCGGATACGAGAACATATACCAGTTTGGTTCTACAAGGGTGAAAGGAAATCAGTTAGAAGTTCTATACTTGAACACTTAATCGACTGTAATCATTCGACGAATCCACAGTCTGATTTTAAGGTTGTTTATATGATTCGTTCAAATCTACCAAGATTTCTTCGTATCAAACTCTTAAAAATAGCCGAAGCTCTTACCATCCATGAGCTCAAACCAGAACTATGCGTACAAAAGAAGTACGTTTTATCATTATCGTTACCATGGCCTTAATATTATTATTATTACTCCATTCCCCCCTTTACTTATGTTTTATATTCTTATTATTTTATTCATGAATACTCATCACCTTATTTATTTATTTATTTTACACCTCTATGACCTTTAATGACCTTTAATTATTGTAACCAAAACATTTTATCCGTCTTACTATATTCACTAAATCTATTGTTGTTATTCATATTACGTAATCCAGTATTATAATCTTGGTTATTAGTGTTCACATTTCCTCACGGAATTAGTACTTTAACAAAACTTTTTCATATATATATACGATTGTACAGCTTGATAATAAATTCGTTGAAAAGAGATCCCTTCGCTGAAATTCGTGTTTTTAATATATATACCTGTTAAGACATTACACATGAAATAATAAAAAAAACTAGACAGGTTAGAAGGTAAGAGGAGAAATTTGAGACTATAATTTATGGGCAATGCTTAAGTGACCTTGGGAATGTCCACCTATTTACTAGGGGTGAAAGAGGTTCATAAATTAGTGTGAGAAATTAGGATTGGAATTTAGAATTGGAAGTGGGGGTTAACAATTAGAATAAGGATTTTCATAATGAACCAATATCAGCAATAATGCCAAAATGAATTTCGCGCCAAAATCCAAAACCTGTCATTTTAAATCTGATTTGTTCGTCCATAAACTATAGTCTTGCCAGGAAACAAAGATAATTATAAGATGCACAATGTGAAAATCAACGTGAATGTCAGTATTACCAGGGTTGGTTAAAAGTAAGAACAGATCGTTTCTGAACACGTAAGATGATTTCAGTTTTCGCATAGCCAGGGCTTCAATAAACCTTAAAATACTCCTTTCAAAACTTTTATGTAATGCTACAAAGGCTGACTTGATATCAACCTTATGACCGGTCTTAACTGAATGTTTCGTAAGGGAGGAAGATATTTGTCTATCCTGTGATCCTATCTGATCATTGGAATTTATTTAATTTGTAGCCAATTAGGTGTGTGTTTAGCCACTGTTGCTAGCAGATAACGAATGCTCTTTTTTGTCTATGTATGTATTTCACAAATTTATCACATAATTCTGATATTCTTCGTTTTTTTTCATAACATTGTTCAAATACCATAGTCTTTCTAACTTTCTAACTAAATGTTATGAAAATATGCATCCATTTTGCGTTCTCTCTCTCTCTCTCTCTCTCTCTATATATATATATATATATATATATATATATATATATATATATAGGAGGATCCAGTTACAGCTTCACAACAGCCAGTTCAGATGGCTATTAATGCACCGTCACCTGCTGCTCTATCAGAATGGGATTTCGATGTAGATAATGTTCATTCGACGAAGAATTTAGTTAAGTCGGGGTATGTTCCTATACGTCTATCTCTAATTTGAAAGGTTTCTTATCTCTTTTATCATCGATGCTCGAGGTGGTCTAGTCGAAGCTCAAAGACGACCTGGTTTACGATTTGTTGTGCCGCCTAATGCACCTTCTGGACCACTACGTATAATTTGCCGACTACTCCGCCCAGAAACGATTGACAATCCACCAGTTTTTAATGACGGTGATTGTTTAGCCTGTCGGTAAGTTGTTGTAAATTTAATCCCAACTTTTTATTACGTGATTTATTCACCAATCGAAATACGACTTATCCAATCTTAGCACTACTAAACCAATGACGTTCGACCAGTATGAGCAGTCTAGCGTCCTTATTGGTCCCTTGTCCGCCTAGCCCTTCCAATTGAGTCCAGAACACCGATTACAGCTACTGCTATACGAATCTATGCGAAACATTTATTTCAAGCATACTCGGCTTATATACTAGACAGACAGACCGCATCATACCATAAAATATAAAATAACATTTGTACAAGACCAAGCCAAATGTGGCTGTGAACGTGGGATACAATAACAATAAACTGAGTATAATTTAGGAACAGTAATTCGTATAATAATAATAATTCATAGGTCAAAATGAAGCCTGTAATAAGATGAATATAGATATATACAGTCTAATTACTGATAGTTATGCAAAAAGAATATATATATATAATGATAGTCTATTAATAGGTTCCGGAAATTACTCGTAATTTATTCTTCACTAGGATATACCATAAGCAATTCGACACTTTTGACTACACAAGTGCGAGACCTCATATTTTAAAAAAGAAGATATTTATTCGTTTTCATTTAGGCCTAAGATACTGAAAATCTGTCTGTTTGTTATTGATAATCTAGTGAAGGACTGATAATCTTATGATTCTTCTGTACCATCAGTTAGAATTAAGGATTGAATTGAGGGAAGAATTGAGGATCACTTAAAAAGAATGTTCTTCATTCACAGTCATGTATTTCGATATGACGAGCAGGTCTCAACACTTATCCATTGACTTCAAAATAATACAATGCTGTTCGTTCCCAACTGTAAATTAATACTTCTACTTTGAATAGTTATCAGATTCGTCAACAACGACAACGAACGTTTCTTAACTAGAGCGACTACACCAACGAATGCATCACTACCAAAAGCATTCACATGAACTAAAAATCTTCTCCACCATTTCCTGAAAAAAACTATCATTCGTGTTCGTGTTTGACATCATAAGAGCTGTCAGTTTTACATTTTCAAACACAAACACATCCAAACAGGAATAATATATTCAACTCATAACAAAATGGACATCCATTATTGGATATGGTTACATTTTTCGTGTCTTATCGAATTTCCTTGATGAGTATGTCCATTGCACATAATAAAAGTTCAGTGTTTATAGTCTACAAATTGATGTAAATGCAGAGACGAACATTGTATATGGTTTAGAGTGTTTTAATTATGGTCAGGATTAGTAATAGAGACGAATGAAATGAAATCATAATCCCGTTTAGTTTTAATTCCTAAAGCATCATTTCATGTAGGTTTGACAAAAACATAATCTAATTCAAATTTATTTTCTAAGCACTTCATCTTTGACTTCAACGGATACAAATCAACGTATATTTCATGATGATAGGTAGCGTAAGTCATACACATACGTTTTGTTAGAATTAGTGGGCGAATTACTTTGAAAATGACTAATTTTGTGTTGATTATATAATGAATTCGTACGGAATATGTCATTATTATTGTTGAAGTACTGTGTAGAAGAACACTGTATTAAATTATGCGATATCTGATAAAAAGATTAAACCAGCCTTCTCTATATGTACTATGTAAGGAATGATGCTTAAGTTTGATCATTGTTCTTTCTAGTCTCCCGGATTTGCGTTGACCAAGACTCAGTAAAAATGTCCTCTTGATATGGACTGTATACATTAATCCACCTTTTTTTATAGGATTATTGAGATGAATCCAAACCAGATGCGTTTCACTTTACCTATACTTATTGAAGTGCCTCACATAGCATCTATTAAAGGAAGAGAACGTGAAATTGTAATTGTTAGAAGTGAAACGGGAAATTCATGGAAAGAACACACTTTAGAAGCAAATGAGCAGGCGATAAATGATTCGTTGGGTGATGCATTTGGTAAGCTGTTTGTTTTTCTTTGGTTGGTTAGTTTAATCAATGTATTCCTATCCTTCTGATTTACATTGTATACCGAGTGGGGTTCAATAACATAAGATGGTCGTTATGTATTTACGTTACCTATTTCTCCAGCTGGTTAGAACTTTGATGTAATTTTTGGGAAATAAACGTATAAAACTGAGATGTCATAACAACAATTTTACTGTTATGTCACCAAATCAAGTTTATCTATCCAATTTCATTATATAGGTTCAGCATTACTTCTCCCAGACACTTAATTTGAATAGCAACTAGGGGTTCACTAGTCGATAACTTCAAAGTAGTACATTTTCAGGAGATCTGAAGAGAAAATACGATCCATAGTACGAATTTAGTCTCTACTGCAATTGTGTAGTCATTAGTATAGTGGAAGATAACTCGAATCTATGATAATCGTGGTAAAGACATGGATATTATAAGTTTTTGGGAAGGCAGCTCTTCAAACTTTATGTTTTTCTAATCTCATGGAATTGTGTGTCTTGAAAACGCTACATAGAACAAGAATGGAAACTGTGACAATATGTTTACCAAGATCATTGGTTCCTGAGATATTCATAAGTTATAACGAATGTTTGAGATTTAGTTTAAACAATCTTTCTGTACCTAAATATATTAAGAACGTGTTAGTTACTCATATGCAAAATGAAAACTTCCTTACTTTGTCTCAGCTGTTTTCAATTTACATTAACTGTCAATACAAACAACAGTTCGTAATGAACTTTAGTATAGGCTCTGGCTGAATGTCGTGTATTCAGCGGGAATGAAATTTTTAAGGGTTTAAACTTGTATTTTGACGTATACTTCTCTCCCTTTCCCTTAGATCAATCAAAATGTAGTTTCAAACGTCCGATGAACAGCCTACTTCTTGTTCCATAAATAGTGATTTCCCACATTACCCCTGTTTCCTGAAATATTGCCCCAGTTGTGCGATTCTTGATCCCCTAGTGAAGAAAATTCAAGGGTATGATTATCAATATCTCGTAATAAGTGATTGGTTAACTTGTATTTCGAAACGTGTGCTGATGTAATCACGAGCATACTGTTTGCTGCCTGCATGGATTTGGTAGTTGATTGTAAATGGCGCACTGTTGTTGTCTGTTGAAATCCGACTACAACAAACTGTTTTGATTGGATATCGAAATTTTCATATTTTAACTTCTTTTAAATCTATTAGGAAGTTTCATTGTCATTCAATATAAAATTGTTACTTAAAAAAAAATAACATCAATTTTATTGGGATGCCATATGATATTGGGATGGAAAGTATGGTCAGTATTCTTATTAATCGCGTGTTCACTAAACTTAATGTCTTCCGTGATGTAGACTAAAGTTGCAACTTAACGTGACGAGGGAAAATTGATAAAGATTACCTGTATGTAATTTCTTTGTCATTGGTTAAACCATGTATGTTATTCTAAAATAAACAAGAATATTTGATAACTATTTCTTGGTTACGCTGATAAGCTTTTTGTCAAAAAACAGATTTCTAATTACATCTGAAATCTATTAAAATTTTGAATGGACAAGGAGAAAATTATTTTCCATATAACTATTTTACTGAATCAATTTAACATCTCATACATGATGGTAAAAATTCCCATAAGCATTTGAATAAATCACCGTCATAAGATCATGTAGACGGCGGGATAGTAATCAAGGAGGCTGACCTATTTCTGAAACTAATCTTACCCTACAAGCGAATTTCCTTTCATTTTGCTTACTTTTATAAAGATATAGTATATATATATATATGATCTCTCTGTGTTTCTTTTGATATTCAGATCATTATGACTTGAATACTTCAAGTCTTAACAAACGCATTCATCGAATTTTGACGTATGACCTTCCACAATATTTCGCGATAATTTCGAGATTTCGTCAAGAGGTTGCTTTCATTGGTTCAGATGGTGGAATTATTAGCTCCACCGTAGCACCACAAGTCCAAGCTGTGTTTCCCCCAGGATCACTTCAAAAAAGAATTAAAGTTGGCTTGCAAGTATGTAATTTAACTAGTTTCATTCTCTGTATTTGGATATTTGTAAATATTACTTAGTATAGTAGGATTTTATGAAGTACATATTTGTCATAAAAGGTTTTACGACATGGTACTTATATTTATGTTCTAGGCTCAAATTATTCCTGATGATGTTATCAACCGTTTAGCGGATGATCGTGTTTCTGTATCTCCTGTCGTAAGCATTGAACCAAGACGACGCAAATTTCACAAGCCCATCACACTTACGATACCAGTTCCACGTCATTCAAGCAAAACTGTTCCAGAAAAAACAAACAGCTCATCAAAGATTCGGCTTCTATGTAGTCTATCTGGTGGAGTAAATCCAGCTGTATGGGAAGATATAACTGGTTCAACACCTATGACACATCATAAAAATTGTGTTTCATTTACTACAACTGTTTCTGCCAGGTAAGTTAATTTTTCATTTCATCGTATAAATAAATAACAAGTGGACTGATATGAATTTACTAAAATTTCAGATAACTATTTCTTTTAGTGTACTCTTGAATCCTTACATTCCTTGAAAGAATAAACATTTTATTTCATAGGTCAATAAAGCATGAGCAAGGCCTGAAAAACATGAAATAATGGAATTTGGTTTTCTTCTTGGACTATTGATAAAACATACATCCTGGAAAACCATAAAATCTTTTCCATTTGGTAGGACTTAAGGTTCACTCGAATTTATCAAGGATTTACAAAATATTAATTCAGAACGGTATACGGACTCATTAAATTAGTTTTTAAATTCTAAACATACAATTTAATTAGTGAATAATAAAAGTAATAGCACTTGGATGTTATTATAAAGGAAGTACTCTTGTGTACATTGTTATTTAAATGATTCATTATGTATAAACATGTTATTCATTTGAAAAACCGTATTCGAAAAAAATTGGAGGGAAAAAAGGAAAGATAAAATTAAGCAGATATTGTAATGAACAAAACATGACTAGGGACAATCGAATGTATTTAAGATCAAATTACAGACTATCTCACTAAATTCTGATAACCATAAAGCAAACAGTTAATTTGCAAAATAACAACCCATCGTCTCAATCTTCACTGTTCCTTCTGTAAATATCAATCCATCTTCTCTAATTTCATTGTTTGTGCATTTTCCTACCAATTGCGCTTCATTTCAGTTCTTCCCTTCTCGGTCTTCCACCAAAATACATTCTATGTCTGACCATCACCATATACTACTTATGTGGACAAGAGTAGCCCACACCGCAATATGATATGGTTTTCAATGGTTATCTAACATTAGTCCATGATTTGAACTACGTAGGTTGTAAAAATAACTATAATCCTATATGGGAAATAAAGTAGCGGGAAGAGTAGTTATTATAAAATGATGTGAAAATTGGTTATACCTCATGAAATAAGAAAATATAGAATTTCTGTAAAGTAATTTGGCATAAATAAATTTTTCATTTTTACAGTTGCGGTCATCATCAATTGGTTGTATAAATCAAAATTGCGAGCACAATTCATAATTTGAAATGAGAAGTTATCACTATCAAACTACCCCTTGATATGAGTAACGTTGGTCACAAGCGTAAATCTAAAATTTTAGCGCTTTAATATGCTGATGGAAAACAGTAAAAGATGCAAGGTATAAAATGTACTGCGTGATGCAAATATTAGCGTTTTTTAGCGAGTTGATTTTCTACGGGATGGGGTCGCTAACCCCATGCCCAACCCTCCTCCTTTACCCGGGCTTGGGACCGGCAGCAACCCCCAGAGGAGCTACAGTCGGAGTTGCAAATATGAAAACTGTCTTCTTATTGGTAATAAAAATAGCGGTAGACCTCAAAAGAAACTAATAAATAAAGTTTAACTTAAATGACAATGCTCATTCTACTTGAATTATCTGTAATCGACTGATCACTGAGTAGTAATAATGTCATGTTCGTCTAGTCGTTTAGTGCTGATCATATTTTGTCGATCAAACTTCAGTGTAGCGGCCAGTTTAAGTGATTCAACATCTCTAACTCTTTAAGATGGATGTGGATTTATCTCAAAAAGAGATAACTGGAAACATCTCTTTTAAAGCTTTTTAAAGCTATCGTCACATCACGGTACTAGAAAGGTTTTAATTGCAACTTATTGTCCCCTTCATTTTCACGATCATGATTTAGAAATTTTTACAAATTTTGTGGCTTTTTTCCTGACATTGAGAAATCAACAACTCACGCTTATGTAACGTCATTATCAATGGTGAGAGCAGAGATTCATTAACCAAAGAGTCGAGGACAAATGTAATCTAGTTCAACTATCATTAAGTCGTGCAGTGAATTAAGCAATTCAACCGATTTCCTGTAAGATCTTAAACAGTTAACTTGCTACGCTGACAAAACGAAAAATCATGAAAGCCCACTGTTCAAAATCGTCCAAATATCTTTTGATAGTATAACACTTCAATCTCCAGGATACTGAATTTACTAGAAGAACAAACTGATTAATACTATAACATAAGTTAAAAACCATCTGTATACAATATGAAAGACAGTTTTAAATCTTTTGGTTAGGGAATTAAATTAAACAGAAAGGATGTTATTTCTTGATTCGCTAGCGTCCTTTTACGAGAGACCATTGATATCACTTGTAGTCACTCTGATAGGATTGGTTTTCTGGTAAAGAGATCGAAAGAATTACTACCAAAATGAACAAAAATGTCCAGTTTCAATCTATTGGCAAGTATTGTTGACAAACAGAGAGTGTTACTATGTGCAGTCCACTTACTTACCTACGCCTGTTACCCCCAACTGAACATAGGCCGCCGACCAGCATTCTCCAACCCACTCTGTCCTGGATCTTCCTTTCTAGTTCTATCCAACTTTTGTTCATTCTTCTCATGTCTGTTACCATTTCTCGGTGTAATGTGCTCTTTGGTCTCCAGGATTCCATGTGGGGGCCTGCCTTGTAACGCAGTTGGTTGCTTCTCTCAATGTGTGTCCAATCTACTTCCAGCGCTTCTTCCTGATTTCTTCCTCCCCTGGAATCTGGTTTGTTGTCTCCCACATTAGGTTGTTGCTGATAGTGTCTGGCCATCGGATCCGAAGTATCTTGCGTAGACAACTGTTAATAAACACTTGTATCTTCTGGATGATGGCTTTCGTAGTTCTCCACGTCTCCGCCCCATACAGTAGAACTGTATTGACATTTGTATTGAAAATTCTGACCTTGGTGTTGGTTGACAATTGTTTTGAGTTGCAGATGTTCTTCAGTTGTAAATATGCTGCTTTGCTTTGCCGATCCTTGCCCTCACATCTGCACCTGATCCACTGTGTTCATCAATGATTCTGCCCAGATATGTAAAGGCTTTTACATCATCCAAAGCTTCTCCGTCAGGTGTAATTTGATTGGTGCATGTTGTATTGTATCGGAGAGTCTTGCTTTTCCGGTTGTTTATATTGGGACCTACTGCTGCTGCTGCTACACTAGTCTTCTCCTGCATTTGCTGTTGCATGTGTGATAGAAGAGACAGGTCATCTGTTAAGCCCAGATCGTCCAGCTGCATCCTAGCTGTCCATTGTATCCCGTGCTTCCATCCAGATGTTGACGTTTACATGATCCAGACGATCACCAGGAGAAAGAGAAAGGGTGAGAGAAAACAACCCTGCCTGGTACCGATCTTTACCTCGAATGAGTCGGTGAGTTGTCCTCCATGGATGATTTGGCAGTTTAATCTATCATAGGAATTCCGTATGACATTGACTATCTTTCACGCACGCTGTAGTGTCGAAAAAGCCTCCATAGTGTTGTCCAGTCCACACTATCAAATGCTTTCTCGTAGTCAATGAAGCTGATGTAGAGTGATGAGTTCCATTCAACTGATTGTTCCACAATGATCTGTAGTGTTGCTATTTGGTCAGTATACGATCGATCCTTACGGGATCCAGCTTGTTGGTCTCGAAGTTGGGCGTCTACGTAGTTCTTCATTCTGCTTAACAACACTCTCTGCAGTCCACTAGACCATATTTCCTGATAATTTTCCGGCACGACTAGAAAAAATCTAGTTAAAAAACATGATAAAACCAACTCCACTGCATTTGCGAAAAGTGGATAAAACTTCCACCATATGTAATAACAGATATTATGCTGATCAGTTACTGGTCTGCTTCTATCCGGCTCACTCAAATTTGAAGCTCTCATGCAAGGGCGAAGTACAAAATAAAATTATTTTCCTCAAACTAAAAATAAGAAGAAGCGGTGACAGTTCGATTCCTCATTCCATCTACCGTAAGACACTCTAGACGGGGAATACTTACATATTAACAGCTTCTGTCCAATCTTAGAACGTTGTTCCTGAAGATCCTTTCGATAACTGTTTGGAAGATTCAAGACTTAAAATGAAATAAATTCGCTTCATCCTACGGTGTTTTTTTCAAAAATCAAATAAGTATAAGGGGTCTGTGGAGATTATAAAGATTTTATAGTTTAACTCCTATTTGCAGGACTAGAGAAACTGTAATTATTCTGCAGTGCTTTTCATCTTCTTCTGTTTTCCCTAATAGTATAGTACATTGGTGGTCTCTTCAGAAACAAATACCTTGTGTTTCTTAATATTTGCATATCTGCACCTCCTTTTGTTTGGATATAGATTGTGGTTGATGGATTGCTCAACTGATATTCCAGTTACAGAGCTAGCAACCCGCATTTACAATGAAAGCATTGAACCACCAATTTTGGGAAGATTTGTTATTTATGCTCGTCAATCGACCGATCTGGATACAGAAGTCGAACTAGAAACGCTAGACAAATTACAAAAACAACTTCCTCATGCTCAAGATATGAAGAGAAGTATTTCACGCATCAAAAAGTTTTCAACCGAATTTGCTCAAATTAGATGCATCTGCCTGACAGACGACAACAATGATAAAACTCTGGAGTGTTTAGAACATTACTGTCAAGTTGCAATCGGTCCATTTGTTGAGGTAAATAAATAACTTGATGCTAAAATTCCCTAGTTTCTCCTTATAAAAATAGTTATTTGGCAAATATATACATGTTTATTTGAAAATACTTATTTGAATGAATAACGACATTCTTGGAGAAACCGAAGATATGTGTCCCGTTTTTTGTTCATCGATTACATAGGGTCTCTTCTACAACGGAGAGCGAAATCGTTACAGTCAAACTCTTTGATCAACCGTCACCCAGTAGCTAATGACCTTGTTTCAGGCCCATTTATTGTTGATCCTGAAATAAATAATGTTTGTTACTCAACTCATACGCTCCATTTATTCACTCGGTAATTGAGCCCTCCAAAATTGAAGCTAGTAAGTAAATTCTCTGCCTACTGATGAGCGCTTCAAATTTCCGTTTTTCTATATGCCAATTCTGATATTTAACTAAACACAGATCGTTCAAAATCTAATAAACGAATGTATGAAACTGTTTTAGTTAGCATCAAAACACATCATTTACCATCAGAAAGTAATTTAAAATCTTTACTAATTAGTTAATGGTTCTATAGTGTTTCTTCATTCTATCATTTTAGTTACTCTGATGCCTTAAACTCCTTTTAATTCAACTTGAACCTTTAAATGACAAACATATGTTATAACAATCTGTTGTGATTTCTGCCCGGTTAATTTATCACACGGTATGATCACCAATCAGAATACGACTTATACAATCTCAGCACTGTGCCAAACCAATGACATGTGTTGACTGGTTCGATCAGCCTAGAGACCTTGTTGGTCCATCCCGCCTAACTCTGTTTGTTGAGTCCAGAACACAGCTTCTACTGCATGAATCATATATTTCAGATATACTTGGTTTATATACAAGCAAACCAGACCGAACAAGCCATAAAATAAAAAATAACATTTGTACTAGATGAAGCCAAAAAGTGACTGTGATTGTAAGATACTGAAACTAATAAATTGGGTATAACCTAAGAATAGTAAATCGTATAATAATAGTCTATAGGTCAAAATAAAGCTTATAATAAGAGGAATATAAATATACATAATCTAGTTATCCAACAGTTATCCAACAAAAATATGTTTAGAATATTAGTACATTAATCGCTCTCAGAAGTTACCTATAATTTAATGTTCCTTAGGATATAACACAATCAGTGTCTGTCCACATTATCACTACCTTTTATCCATTGTTTAAAAAATATCCGGTTTGAAATAAGTACATTTGTGACCCAGTTATCACTGAGCATTCCAAAGCAATAAGTGATCAAATAACCCTAAATGCGGGGTCGTGGATGGCACCGCTGACGAGTTGCATACTAAGACGAAACGGCCGTCCAGTGCTTCCAGGATTCAATTGTGGTCTAACATTGTTCGTTTTATAATTTCAATGAAAATCAACAATGTCCACAACCTTATGCTGAAGAAAGATACCGTCAGCCTTGAGCTTTTTAATTTTAATTTATTTTTTTCACTTGGTATTACACATGGGTTCCTTATGGCATATCTAAAACTGTCCTATTACACTAATATTTCTTTACAAATCTATCGAAATATTGGGAAATTATTTACAATAATGTTTTTTTCTCTTCATGGTATTCATTTTAGATTCAACAAAACAAGCCTGTCTGGATTGAAATGGTTGGAAATCTGGTACCAGTGTTAAGATCTGATGAACAGCTGAACTTTACCATTCGACCATTCCATGAGAATCGAATTACATTCCCAGTACGTTTGCGAGACGTATTGAGTCATGAGTCAGATTCGGATACAGTTACTGGAAAAATCGCATTTGTGCGTGAACCACGCAAAGCTCAAACAACTTTGGATATGACTAGCGCACAACCGCAACGTCCAATCACTCTATTAGAATTCAAGCTACCAAACCCAGATAGAACAATTGTGATATCTACAAGAGGTAACGTTATTAAGATGAATAAAAGTCAAGTTATAATGGTCTGCGTGTGTACCACGTCTACTGACACTTTACTATTATCACATTTGAAGGGTATTTTAAGTGTGAATATTGATAAACACAGTTACTCGTACATTTGATGGCACAACTGTTCAAGATCTTTGGAAAGAAGCAGAAATGATATTACTTTCCAAAAGGTTTTATGTTCCTTTAGCTGGATAGTTCAGCTAGGAAACCTCCATTATCTCAGACAACAGTGACTGTTTCTAATAGAAATGCGATGGTAAATACATAGCTCCACCTACATTGTTGGTTGGAACACTGGAAGCTTTGGGAGGAATTCTGTTAAAATATAGGAGTTAGCTGGAGAAAAATTATTTAGTTCTATATTATTACATTTGAAAAACCTAAATGAACGTTTAAATTTATAATTTATAATAAACATTAGTATCACTAATTTCTAATTATTAGGATATCACAAATACATCCTCATTGTACTACTATATGTATATTATTTGGCCAACTATATTTTTTAGAATTAAAACTCTTTGAAAGACTTAGCGAAAAGAATGATTTTTCTAAGATCTTTCTCAAACTATATTAGTTAGGATTATGGTACTTGCACTAGACCAAACGGATCATGAAATATTCTTTACCAATCACTGACATCAAATTTATAAGGACTTTCGTCTGAATTTGAACGAATAGTTTCACAATAGTTGGGCGCCGAGTTAATATAAGACATTAAGAAGAAAAATTATATTTGTAAAAATTGGACTTGAAGTAAGTTCAATGTTTCGTTCGGCAAAGTAGTTAATAAGAACGGTTAAAGAAACCTTCTAAATCCATTAAATAAGAAATTATCTCTCGAATTCAATCTTGATCACAGTCTGTTACGTCCTTGAACCTGTCTACCCACTTTCGTGCCGAGTATAACTTGTCTAATGTAGATTAAGACCTTGACGCGATAGGCTGACTGGCTTAACCTTGAGGCTAGTATGCGTGAGTTCGAAGCGGGGGTAGAGAAACGAAAACTATTCTATCCCTGATTGGCTGATAAGCACGCGAGAGAGAGAGAAGATAAGACAACTGGGACACCAATCGCTTTATTCCAATCCCAACCTGGTACCCGAATTCCGAATTCAAATTAGTGTAAAAAGATAAATGAATAAATAGATGAATAACCTGACCACAACGTACGATGATTAGGAAAATACACTTATGTCCAAAACTAGGGGATTAGAGTGGAAAATAGAGTACAAGAGGTTACGTCTAAATTACAATAGAACAACACATGTGAGCGAACAATTGTTTTCAATTAGACCTTTATTTATACGAAAATGTTAGACCATTCAAGCCTATTTGAGTCCATAATCACAATGAAATAGAATACGTCACCGAGCTTAATAGATAAAAGTACAAGTTGATAGTGGGAAGACAGGTGTACTGATAGTAGTAAGAATAGTAAATTACGGTAACAGAAGTCTTATCAATAGTTAAACATTGGAAATAGGAGGTCAAACGTGCGTAAATAGACTTAAAACAGTCATCACAAAAAATTACGTAATAAGAAGAATGTAAATAATTAGATAGTGAAGAATACAAACGGAAATAGGTGGAAAATTACAAACATATGATAACAAAATTTTAAAAAAAAATTTAAAATAATAATAATGTCATTTGTTAAGTCACGTCCGGCCATGGAAGCGATAGGGGGGTCACAAATTTCTTCTGTACACATAAATTGGGGCGGAATGTATGAATGTATGGCTTCTGCTATATGAAGGAGACGGGAGTGAACTCTGTTGGGAAATGATGGAGGTTTACGATAGATCACTTGAAATGATTTCAATTTATCTACCATATGACCACTATCAATTAGATGTGCCAAGATAGAACTGCGTATTGTTTTTATTTGGCCCCTCCCAAACATCTACCAGCATATTTTTCACGACAAACAATATACATTGTACCAATCTTCAAAACATACTACATCAAAAATTATTGTTTTCTTGGAAAATGTGTATAAATTTTGGTCATTCATAACAAGTTACTTATTAGTGTGGAACCAAATATTATAAGACGTCCTGAGCTTGATTGTCAAACACTGTCATTTGAAATCGGCGAAGTTTGAAGACGATAAGCGCCTCATCTTCGTTTCTCTGAACATGATATTAAGACAATGGATGAAATTCCATTGAACTGTATAGCATCTAGTGGACTCGGAACTAAAGATCAGCGGGTGGAAAATATGATTACTTCATGGCACCCCAGAGCAGCGTTATCAGGTTTGAAAAACAAAGATTCTTTAGGTAAGCCATCTATGAAGTTGTTCTGTAGACTAAATGATCCTAAAAAAGCACAACATAAACCAACAAAATACACCACTTCTAGTTAAATTCTAACCTAACGGATAACTTCAGAAACTAAGCTATCACTTTTCATCAAACAAAGAGTGTTCTTCTCAATACATTCTCTTCAAGCTATGTAGTTGTACACATATATCCAAATCAATCATGCAAAAAATGACCCAGTTTAAGGCAAATACATCGTTTGAAAGTATGACATGTGAATTTAGGATCGTTTGGGAAACAAAATAAACTGGTTAAGGCTGAAATAACTAGCATGTAATGTTAACTAGAATCAGTATATGGGTGAGTTGAATTTGTGTGATCATTAGTTAGAATAAATATGGATAACACGGAGAAAGAGAAATGAAAATGTAGGTACAAATTGCATCCAATGTTTAATGGAAGATATCTTAGTGTTTGAAGTGGTAGGAATTAAGTTAGAAACAATAAAATGGGGTTAATCCCAACTATTTTCTTCATTTGCTTACAAGACTAATAATAATGGTAATAATAATAATAATAATAATAATAATAATAATTTCAGTAACAGTATTCGAATATTAGGAATGTATATTATGAAGATACAGAAGGGGAAGACTGTATGTAAATTAGTCAAACTGGAACGACCACTGATCTATTAGGCCTGAGATGGGTCAAGGTAAAAGAAGAGACTGAACAAATTTGTTTTGTACACGAAGCTCTGGTCTTTCAATTTGCGTAACCAGTGATTCCACCGTCCTGATAACTATGTTTGACATTTTCTGCATGCAATTACCAATACGATAAACTACCAAACATGATTGATTTATGCTGACAGTATAACACATTTGAACTAAATGAGACATTACTGAACTATTCATTGTCTTGATCGCACCTGTGCTCAGCCACTCTGGAAAGTGTTCACGATCCCGAAACTGTAAGTTCTTAGGAATTCAGCCGACATAACTTGTTCCACAAGATCAAGATAATTAGTCTTTTTAAGCAAAGATGGATAGTGGCTAGCGGTGGAATCCAGGACGCACGTTTCGTCCTATTTGGTACTCGTAAGTTGGGTGTACTTGCATCTCAGAGTTGATGTTCACTCTAGGACTCGAACACAGTACCTTTCGCTTCAAACGCCATCGCGTTACCCACTCTGAGATGCAAGTACATCCAGCTGACGAGTCCCAAATAGGACGAAACACGCGTCTTGGATTCCACTGCTAGCCACTATCCATCTTTGCTTACCATGCTTGTGAATTTAGGCTATATCGAGGCGATACGCACAGTATGCACATATGCCAATTAGAGACTGACCAGTTACAGTCCTAAAAACGTCAATGGGAAGATCCAAACAAACAATACTAAGTAAATAACTAGTCTTTTATTCTCGGAGTCACCATTGGACATTATTCATAGCTTTCCTGCATCGAACATCCTTTGAACTGTTTTGACTAATCTCCTGAATAATATTTCACTGAGTGCAACATCTCTGAATTTTAAGTTCATAGACAACGATTCCCTTCCTATAGTTTGGACAGTTCTCACTTCTGTGACCATATATTTGTTCATACACATTCCATCATATCCACTTCTCCTAAAAATATTACACAAAGCGTTCAGCTCTACTTCAGGCTCTTCAGTTGTTGCATATGGTCGTTATTCTATGACCTGGTGTTGTCACTGAGTTTCTTTCGCACTTTTGTAATAGGATGTTAGGGAAACGTGTACTTCTGTCACTTATATCTACCAGCTCTTTTTGTCAGTAGGATATCGATAATGCTATTCTGCCTTCAAATCTCTCTTCATTTGTAAGCTTAGCTGCGTTATGCAATTATTAGATTGCTTTGGAGTCCCTATTTGTTTTGTACTGTCTTTACAAAAGATGAACGTATCATCCACATATCAACAATAAAATATGAAGAAGGTGACTGTTTTCTGGTTTTTCTAGGAAAATGTCATTTAATATGAAACCCAGTGGTGGACCCGTTGCAACTCCACCAATGTGTCTGCAGATTTCGATGTCAAGCGTTAAATTTACATTCACGGTCTATTTTATCCATAGATTTACTGAGACACCAATTGAAGCCGTATTTTCTTTTGAATTTTCCCCTTGTTGCTTGAAGATAAATGTATATTCCACATTCTTCACACGTGTAACATCTATAAATAGCGATGGTACATTAAAGACATCATCGTTTATTCTCCATTGTCTAAATTTTAAATCCTATAATTCTGCTATACCATCAGTTAGAATTAAGGATTGAAAAATATATTGAGGATCACTTAAAAAGAATGTTCTTCATTCACAGTCATGTATTTCGATATGACGAGCAGGTCTCAACACTTATCCATTGACTTCAAAATAATACAATGCTGTTCGTTCCCAACTGTAAATTAATACTTCTACTTTGAATAGTTATCAGATTCGTCAACAACGACAACGAACGTTTCTTAACTAGAGCGACTACACCAACGAATGCATCACTACCAAAAGCATTCACATGAACTAAAAATCTTCTCCACCATTTCCTGAAAAAAACTATCATTCGTGTTCGTGTTTGACATCATAAGAGCTGTCAGTTTTACATTTTCAAACACAAACACATCCAAACAGGAATAATATATTCAACTCATAACAGAATGGACATCCATTATTGGATATGGTTACATTTTTCGTGTCTTATCGAATTTCCTTGATGAGTATGTCAATTGCACATAATAAGGAGTTCAAGTTTTCTTATTAACTATTAGTTTCTATATGATAGCTGATTGCATTTCATCTCCCGTATTAATATTGTTTGTATAGGGCTTGAGCTGTTAATCTCTCTTTATCTGAAATAAAACCTTTTCAGAAGATTCTTGTGCCATCAAAATCAGTTGTGTGGCTAGACTCCATTGAATCAAATTCTATCGTTGACTTGTTTTCTAGTTTTTTTCAGGTAAGGCATTTGTTATATCTCCTGGTGAATTATGAATGGTAAATCTGAGGTCTATTTATGGACAAATGTAATATGTCTATTTCCTATTGTATAGTTGTTAAATAACTGACCTAATCGTATTCGTGTTCCTCTTATCGCATTACGGCAGCTGAATGTCAGGGTGCAGGCACACACAATTCGCTTGAAGCACACTCCTAAATCACATTTCAGAAAACGATCTTAATTTTCAGCCGAGAATTTAGGAAGTAGCACAAGCTGTTGGTGGCTTAATGATTGAATTTGTAGATAATTTCATACATGACTTCTAATGCCAAAATGTAAAAATAAGGGAAAGTCATTGGCAACCTAAAATAATATTGAAACATGATTAGCATTTGATTTATCAAGTCAGTTGTTAGAAAATTATTATGATATCTAAAATTGGTTTTTTGGAATTCCATTCACGATGTTTGCTTCATTTCATTTTCGTTTATCAACACGGTTTTGAGAAATAGATTTAGTTTGTTATTATTACATCTTTATTTTTTTGTTTTCTTTATCATACACCTAGGCAATCGTCTGGCTGACGCGCTCACTAAAACAAGTCAGTTTGATGCTATTCCCTCAAGTGTGACTGATGTACACCCAGTAACGACGAAAGAAGAAATAATAACTGCAACTGACGTCTTCGAGGAACGACCTGTCCTGCCATTGCCTGCCAAAGAAATTATGCCAAAAGTAACATTAGACGAAGCACTGATATCTCCAAGACACGAAGCAATAGATAGTTCTTTAGGTTAGATGCTTTGTGCAATTTTTTAAAGACCATTATTATTACTGTTAATTTCATAGTTCTAGGTATTATTATTATAAGACGTTCGAAGCTGCATTCTATCATTTGGGCACTAATACGTAAAAAGAAGACGCAAATCAGAAAAAAACATTTAAGGAAAAAAAGCATTTAAGACTTGCCTGTCTTCTTTCAATATGGCCAATTAGTTAAGAATTAGTTTTATATATGTAAGAAGATCTTATACTTTCAGCGGTGCAGTAATAAAATTATACAAAATGAAATCATTTTGAGTGCAAGATTACTGAGATATTCACTGTTTTCCTTGTTATTTGATAGCAGTGTTTTATGGAGCTTCTTTAGTGAATGCGTTCTCATTTGTTTTGATATTGCTAAAAGAAATTCATACCTGGATCCAAATTTTGTCCGTACTGCTCGCCAGACGTTAAGGTCTTCATGATCCAGTCAACCACCAGAAGAAATAGAAAAGGGGAGAGTAGGCAGCCTTGGTAAAGATGGATACGTATAATTAACTCTGTTTTTATCGACTCATAGAACTGAACTAATAATCATGAATTACTCATTTATTAAACACATCATGTATACTTCGTTAGCTGTGTGCAGACCACTAGCTTTTTTTGGTATGTTTTTAATGGGAAAATCGTACTACCTAATCAGGAACCATAGCTCTTATTGCATTAAGGAAACTACCGAATAGTGCAGTGACGATCTAATGAATTGATTTAAAAACCAATCTAAGAAACGTCAGTTTGTCTGTGAACTATCACAATATACCAAATTGGTTGAAATGTCAATGATAGGTGCGATTGCATATGAAAACTTGAAGTCAACAAGTTTACAAGTTCTAAATTAGTTATAGGTGCTCAGAAGTATAAAATACAAAAGTTAGCTATAAATACTCTAATAAATAATAAGGCATAATAAATTTTTTAAAAAGCTTTTGGTAAGTAAATAGCGGGGATACGGATCTAAAAAGCGTGAATACATAGTTGTCTAAAATAATGGTACTTCGAACATTACACAGAAGATCACTTGCGAGGCCATCAAGATTATTTTAACTACCTACTTGTCAGTCAAACATGTAATTTTATCACGTACTGTAGGGCAACATACGTTCTTTTAAAAACTCGACTTATCTGACCTTTGTATTTTATTTTAAAAGGGCAGTTGGTTACATAATTTAAACTATCTAGCATACAAACTGTGACTTACTCGCTTTATTGTTCCTTCTACATATTTTCAGTACGCAGATAGGCTTCCAAACTTTATCCATGTAAGATGCGTACCTTTCGGTTATTTTTAAACATTCTAAAGTTAGCAGACAGTTAAAATTTTATTTACTATTTGTATAACACTTCTTTTTCAAACAGACATGAAATATCAAAAAGTGGAAGAAAAGAGAAAACTAGAAACGGATACAATGTTTTCTTGGTCTGAAAATACATTTCTTTCGTCAGATGAAGGTGTTTCGACTATTTCGGCTTCTGGTGAAACAGATGGTATTCGTAAACCAGAAGGTAAAAACAAATTTTGTGCCAATTATTTTCACCTCGTGATATACTTAGTTTCACTATATAGCATAATGTGGTACACATGCTAAGGGTTGAATAAGATTTTAAGAATTACTCAAATGTGTCAGAAATTCACTTTAACCAGAACAAAGTATGTGTTTCATTGGTCAAGCAATACACAGGTTAAAACTGTAAATTTGACTTTAATCTAGAACCGTTTAAATTAAACTGTCTTTCGTTCCAGCGGTTTTTTTTCACGAAGAGATTTCTTCTGAAATAACTTATATTGTGTACTTAGTTACGTTAATAAACTAAAACGAAACGCCTATTAAAATTATTAATCGAAAATCTCCAAACTCATTTCTACTCGAATCCCAGACTGAATGGCTAAAGTACACACTCAACACAAATGCATTGATGAACTTATGGCAGTTAAAATGATTACAAATTACTAAATTTTCACTATCATTACCAGTAAATGCTTATGTCATTTCATCACGTGAATTCCTTATTTTATAAACAGACTCAACTAAACATCTACCCTATGACATATAAGACCAAGAACCCTTTAATATCCATAGAAATAAATGTTTGATCAGTGAAAAACAAACCCCAAAATATTGATGTGCGACAAACTAATATGAAATAAAATACGAATGAAAACTAATTTATAATGCTTTGAAGGGATTGGGGGGGAATTTTCTACAAACGTTGCTGTTTTTAACGAGTCAAAATTATCGGCGATCAGAGGCTTGATAAAAATATTAACACCAATTACAGAAGTATGATAATGATCAGAACACACGATGAAAACTCACGTTATTAGACTTATTGAAAATGCCTCTACTTTAAGAAAAGTAACACCAGAGTATCCAAAATCTTTCATTTTTCAAGGATTACACAAGATTGATTAAACTGAGATTTCGTTTCAAGGTTAGTAAATCTCCCCTTACTTCATAAACTTTCAAATCTTCGGATCCTAGTAGTGAGATGGATTTTATGGAGTTTAATAAATACGCCGGCAGGTAATCTAATAGCCTTAAATGTTTACATTATCAAATTAGTTAAAATAGTATATTTTAAACCATTAGGATCATCAAGCATTGTTTCATAACAGTCTAACAGTACTTTGTATAAAATATATTATTCTGTTCTACACTTATTTCACCTTCTACCAAAACATTTTGTCAACACTCGTTTAATAGTTTCACATCTACAAAGGATGGCTGTTAAACGCAGACATTACTGACACGATCCATCCATAAGAACTTTATCGTTGCAGTTCCCTCTTTTTGTTAAACTGGCTTCAAATTTTATAAACTTTGACTGGAAATAAAATAGCTCATTCTATTTGTGCATTTTATTTGTATTTTGATGAATTATCAGCAGTTTTACAGTCTGTTTCTCAGGCTGATGTCACAGACCAAGAAAAACTTCCTGTTGATGTTCATACTGTTCCAACCATGTTTAATTCATTTGAAAATACACCAGATCAAGTATTAGTGTCAAGTCACTATGACGACCTCAATGATATCAGTGAAGAAAAACCTCATGTTCACTGGCAAGAAGCTTTGCTAACACATTTGGAATCAGTTGGTGTTAGTTTAGATTTGCCAACAAAGTTCAGCCAGTTAGCAGACAAGGAAGTCGAAGAACCAGATAGTCATATGACGGAAGTTTTCATAAAACCAATATCTCAACATGTTGAACATAAATCTACTTCAACTGACAGAAACCAGATAAAATATGTTATACAGGAATTAATAGATACCATTGAACCACAATTCGTTGATACTGCTTCAGGTAAGCAAGACTATTATAATAGTAACGTTTTATTATTCTTATTAAAAGCATGCCAGTGTTATTCATGATTCTCCCCTAATAGGCGAAGGAACTTTTTTCTTTCCATTAAACCATATACTAATCTGATTTCTGAATAATTGTGAACTCAAAAAATTACTAAAAGTGAAAATCGCAAACAGTTTTTTATTATTTTTCCGTCCATCGACTTGGCCTAGTGTCTCACCATTATTCAACTCTTATTAGTTATGATTTATTGAATTCAGTTTCTCATCATCAATAAGCAGAATTATTCTAAAATTCACTGACAAGTAAGGACATTTTATAATTTTCCGTATATATTAGGAAAGCACAAAATGATAGCACTATCCTGAGATACTGTGGGAAGATTCACTCATTTTATAATAGTTTTGCACCAAATCTTATTGCACACTCCAGCTTAAACTGTCTTTTATAAATGATGTAGTGCATTCTCATAAAATGGCTCTGTACTACTTCCTGCCTGTTTGTATTATCCCAAAAATCTTCGAGTTAACTATTTATCAGATTGTATTGATCTATTATCAATAAATAGAAATTTTTTGAGATTATCAGTCACTTAGGCACACCTGATTTC